GCATAAGGAGTCGGGCTAGAAAGCGAGAGACCGGAGTTCGAATCTCGGCCGGGACATAACTTTTATTTATTTTTTAAATACTGTTGTATTCTATAGTTTATTTTTGTAGTATAAAAAAAGAACTATTTATTCTGTGATTTTTAATCTCCGGTATTAATATAAATTGATTGTTGGTACAATACCTCATTTAATATAAAATAATATTCTACTTTTGAAATGTATCGGGCCCTAATTGTACCTAAAAGTAAAATATATTTTTAGTGATATACCATATTGTAAACTATTTAGTATTTCAGTCACTTAAAAAGTTAATTTGCATTGAATAATTGCCTACCATTAAAGGAAATTTGAGCTATATAATCCTTGATGCGCATCTTCCTCTAAATTTTGGGTTTCATTCAACCGATTTATTCTCATAACCTGAAACATCTACATATAAAAACAAGCACAGGTCACTAATTATAATAAACTTCACCCTTGGAATTACTTCCACTAATTATAATAAACTTCACCCTTGGAATTACTTCTATCACTATTACAATACATTCATCTGCATTGGCATTTTCTACTGTTCGATGGGAAACAATAAACTTTCCAACATTTTTTAAATGATGTAACAATTCCTCTTGTGGTTACTTTTCCATAGATATCCTCATATCTGTCCTCATGTGAATTCAGAGGCAATGAACATGAAAATTATTTACCATAAACATCGCAAACTAAAAACCTAATAAACAATTTTATACCGAATATAGAAATAAATTTAGTATTCTTACCTATTATCGTCCAAATCCATGTTAATAGATAATTATTATTTTTAAATATATTTTTGGAACTGCTGGTTTTAGTAATTATTAAATTAAACGAACTAAAAAGTCTTAAAAATAAACAATTCTTAACATGATTCTTAACCATAACCCCAAAAAATACAGATCTCCTGTCAACTTTCTTTATTTTTTATTTATTCATTGTTTTCCTAGTGACGTCACAGGTGGTATGCGCAAACTGAACGAAATTGGAGCCGCTATCGATCATACCTTGTATTCTTTGTACCATGATGTATACCTATGTATTTTTAAACATCATTATGAGATTTAAGTCATAGGTGCCCATAATATGAGTAGCGGTATTGACGGTTTTTTGTTATGATGAAAATGTTGTGTGATATGAAAAAGCAACAAAATATATTATCGATTGCAGCAACTATATCTAGTTTACATTCAGTATGTCCAATTAATATAGAACATTATAGCTATGCATGATTTTAAAAATTTGCTACCATTATATTTTGATAGTTGAGTTTTTGAAATTATTTGTTAGCTTCTTAAACAAAATAGACCCATACTAATTCAAATCTTTATCATCCAAGACTTCGAAGAATTATAAAGTAATCTCACGTCAAATTTTTTAAAATTATTGCATGCCTTAAATGTTTGCGAAGTTAACAAAAATATGTCTTTGATTACCTGCAATTAATATATTTGGTCCAATTTATCAGTTCTGCATCATATCCGAAATTCAGATTGTGTGTGACACAACGAAGAGTCAACGTGCAACGTGAACGACATGAAAATGGCAAGTAAAAAAAATTGTAAAGTCTTAATTACTAATTACACAGTCGTTCTCTTGAGTTCTCCTGCCTAAAATCTATATTGCCTTCCCTAAGATTTTAAATATAAATGATTGAAACTCATACAAGTTTACCACAATTCAAACTTAAAATAATTATTTAATTATTAAATCCATAATTATATTAAAATATAACACTTACGAAGTTACTAAATATTAACTATTTCTACTTAATCATTTAATAATTCTGATAAAAACACGCTTGATTATTTATTTTAGAAATCATACGGGCTATAATCATTAATATGACTATTAACAATACTTAAATCAAAATTTATTTGAAGGAATGCTACTGTATTACAATAATTGTAAAACAAGTATGTAATAATAACTCGGAATAATTATTAAAAACTGCTCATCTTGTTATAGATGTCGGCGTCTTGTCTCTATTATTTTATTAGCCGTTTAGCTATAGTTTGATTTCAGATAATGCAGATTTTAATGTGCCATTTGTGTTTTTTTTATTGGAATTATTATTTTTAGCATATTTGGTATATTCTATGAAGTTATTTTTAAGTGCTCCTGTCCATTTTTCAATTATTAAAGTGCCTTTAGATACAATTAAAATTAATTAATTGGTGTATAGTATTTGTATTATGGGTTTGTTCATTTTTTATGAAATGATTTTTTTTTCCTATTAAAATAAACATAGCTTACTAAATCACTAGCTAGCCATTTTTAAATACAGGATGTTAATTAAGTATCTGGCCAAACTTCAGGAGGTGATTCTTTGAGTGTTTTTAAGGTAAAAAGTTCATATAAACATGTGTCCGGAAATGTATAATTTTAAAGATACAGGGGGGTGTCAAGGTGTTTTGAGATCCGTTAGCCGATTTTGTTGAAATTTCGCCGTGTTGTGAAATTTAATAAGTTAGCACTAATTAAATGATAATTATTATTTACAACAATATTTAAACGATAAAAACTTATCCCAATAAATATTTGGCACCGCCTTGAATTCATTTGTTTTACGTTGGCGGTGGAAACCATGCAAGCTTTTTCTTTGTCCTAAGTTGTTAATTAAAAAAATTATTATCATATAAAAAAATATAGGTCCTAATAGTCTAATTTTTATCAAAATATATCAGCAAATCCTATGAGCCCGAATTATTATATGTTTTGGAACTTAATGATTTAATTAATTATTCCCTTTAATGCATCGATTGTGCGCATTATCCTACGCGCCAAGAAAAAAGTTGCATTAGTCTAAATTTATTATTTATGTTATTCCGCTCTTTCACGTATAATTTGCCCCCTGCTTCTCATACGGAAAGAGTTAGATTAAAATGGCCCAACTGTACTTAACAACCCATGCCTTGACGCATATTCTTTTTTATAATAATATCGGCTTTCAGAGACTAAACATCCATATCCATAAAATAGTTGGCCCACACTAATAAGACCTCATTTCGGCCCTCGGACGGCCTTGCTCTATTCACGACTTACGTGTTGACAAGTTGATTAGGCAGGTTATTGAACTCCATGTCGCCTCTAGCATGTCGTTTTTTCAAAGATGGGTCCCATATAAACGCGGCCAGAAGTATTTTCAATACTAAAAACTAGAAGAATGGAGTTTAATCTATACTAATATATAAAATCCTTAAGTGACTGACTCAATGATTAATCAGGGGATCCTGCTCAAACCACTCAACGTAAGAAGCTCAATTTTGGCATACAGGTTGATTCTAGGGTGTAGAGGTTCGATAAGAAGGGATTTTTCGAAATTCCAGTTCCAAGGGGGTGAAACCACCCCTCAAATATTACAATATTTTTTATTTAAAAAACGGTCAAGTTTCTGCTTAAACACGTATATTTTATTTTGTTTTTTTACATATTTTAAGATTTTTTAAAAATGAATACAGGGTGTTTCGAAAAATCTGGTCATTGATTAATCACGATCCTGCTTAAAGCGCTTGACGTAAAAAGCTGATTTTTGGAAAACGGATTGACTTTAGGGTGTAGAGGTTCGATAAGAAGGGATTTTTCGAAACTCGAATTCTAAGGGGGTGAAACTACTCCGCAAATATTAGAATATATATTTTTTTAAAAACCGGTGAGTTTTTCGGAGAAACTCTTAAACACGTATATTTTATTTTGTTGTTTTACATATTTTAAGATTTTTTAAAAATTTATACAGGGTGTTTCATAAAATATGACCATTGAGTAATCACGATTCTGCTTAAAGTGCTTGACGTTTAAAGGTGATTTTTGGCAAAGGGATTGACTGTGGGGTGTAGAGGTTCGATAAGGAGGGTTTTTTCGAATCTCAAATTCCAAGAGGGTGAAAACGCCTCTCAAATATTACAATATTTGTTATTAAAAAACGGTTAGTCTTTCGGGAAAATGCTTGGACACGCATAATTTATTTTCTTTTTTTACATATTTTGAAATTTTTTAAAAAATCATACAGGGTGTTCCAAAAAGTTGGGTAATTTAGTAACTACCAAAATATAATAATATCGCCATATTGTTTTTTCTCATGCTGACATAAACGTGAGAAAATTTTATCCAGTTTGTATGTTAATGGAAATTCTTTTATTGCTTTATCATCACCATTACAAATGATTAATTCGACGCGAACAAAGTCGCAAGTACACGCTAGTTTCAAATAAATCATATTTTCATAGACAAGACTGTTTTTTAACGATTCTAAACGATTTCTAGGCGAAAATTGGCAGTACCGAAAAAATTCCGCCTTCTGCGGGCTCACGCTTTTTAATATTATTATTACCTCGTAGTGCATGCCTAAAGCAAAAATTCACGCAACGCCCTGCCTTTATTATCACGTTCTCGTTCAAAAGAGTTTATCAGGAAGCTACAAGCTCTTTGCTTCGACTGTTTAAATGCTACGACATATTTTCAACACACAATTTCAACAAATGCAATACAAAAACTAGAGGATTTAGTTCTTAAAAGAACTGTTTGCGCTTAAAAGAACAGTTTTTAAAAAAAAATATGAAAATAGGCAAAAAACGAGAATTACTAACAACGATTCAACAACAACACTGTAATATACGAAATAATGACTGATGACATTATGATAATTGTCAAATAATAATCGACAACGTTCCTGAACTCGGCGCAATGTGATCGATAATAAAATTCGGTTTAAACTAATTTTTGCAGCTTTACTCTAAATAAAACATCTGTTACAATCATTTGCTCTATAAAGTAAAATAAAGAGCTGATCGGTATCTTAAATTATACAGCAAATTTAAACATTCAGTCAGGTTTATAGGCTTTAGTGTCAATTTCGATATGATTGATGACGTTCATCGGAAAATGTTTTGCGATTACTGTATGACTATATTGTTGCAATAAGAATGTATTTAAAAAATATATAAAATTACTAAAATATGCCAATCATTTAGACTGATCCTTACGTCATGATCAAGCAACTACCTGACCAGTTAATTGGAAATGACAGATACGAGGGATTTGGTATCGACGTCATTCACGAGCTATCTCTGCTTCTTGGTTTTAACTATACAATCTTGGAGCAAAAAGATGGAGTTATTGGTAACTTGAATCGTAACACCAACCAGTGGAATGGAGCCATTAGAGAAATTATGGATGGAGTACGACGGAGACAGTTGCACTTTGATTGTAGTGTTCTAATGATGTAATTATTGTAGAATGCAGACTTGGCTATTACTGATTTAACTATTACTTCTGAGAGAGAAACTGCTGTTGATTTTACTATGCCCTTTATGAACTTGGGTAAGCAGAAATCAATACATATACATCTTTTCTAAATATTTTTAAACAAATTGGTGGTGTTTCTTTTTGCAAAGGTGTTCTTTAAGTTTTCAATGTAGGACATACTGTAGAATTTAACCACTATAAACCTAAAAATTTCTATAAAAAGGAATTATTATACTTTTTTGTGTATTTATTTTTACAATATTTATATTTTTATATGTTATAGGTATCAGCATATTGTACAGGAAACCAATACCCGTACCACCCAGTCTCTTCATGTTTACTTCCCCTTTTTCCACTTCAGTATGGGTAATGCTGGGAGTTGCATACATGTTAGTGTCCATAGCCATATTCATCATGGGCAGACTGTCGCCAAGCGAATGGACCAGTCCATTTCCATGTATTGAGGAACCAGAGTATCTTATTAACCAATTCAGTATAAGAAATTCTTTGTGGTTTACTATTGGTGGTTTGTTGCAACAAGGATCTGAACTTGCACCTACGTAATAACTATGATATAATTATAATAGCTAACTAGGATATAACTAGGATTTTTTTAAGATTTCTATTTTTTAAAACATATATGACCTGTTTCCAGAATGTGCTTATTTCAAATATCTTCTTAGAAATTTCAAGTATTTTATGAAACTCATTTTAAATATAATACATTCTCGAATGATATAAATTTTGGCAAACAAAAAAACAAAGCATTGTTAGAAACACCTGTTTCTAAAATATTAACGACCAAAAATTTTATTAAACTTACAGCTTGTTGTATCTCAAATTAGCATAATGAATGCCTTTCTTTTAGGAGTATATCTATTCGTACAGTTTCCGGAGTTTGGTGGTTCTTTGTGCTGATTATGGTGGCTTCCTACACAGCCAATTTAGCGGCCTTTCTTACAGTGGAAACTTTAGTAACTCCTTTTAAAAATATCGACGAGTTAGCCCGACAAACTGATATATCTTATGGAGTAAAGAAAAATGGAGCTACTGAGAACTTCTTTAGGGTAAGGATAATATTATTAATAGAGTTAATATAATTTAAATAAACGTATCATTATACATATTCCTATAATGTATATTAAAGTAAAGTTAGATGTTCAAATTCAGGCACAATATATTGTCTATGCTAATTTCACGAAAAACTATAAAAACACATAATGAATTTTAAAAATTATTGTACTTAACTATATACCTATTCTAAAAATCAATTACCTTAATACCTTTGTTCAAATAACACATGCATGGCAATGTCAATATGACAGTAAATAATATTGACGTCACTAGTTTATAAAATGAGCGATTCGGAAAGTATTCCCTCTGATATTGAAGAAGAGGCATTCAGAGCCATTTCTGGGTTGCTTCCATTAAGATCGAAACAGAAGTATGAATATGAAAGATTGTTCAAACTGTACCATTAACATTTATAATAAATAAGTTTTCATGTTTTATAATAATTATCAATAGAACAGTTTATTTGTATTTAGTATGTATTTTGTGCAAAATAAATGTTTTACAAAATATTTTTTCTCTTTGGTAGTCATCTGAACAAGGAGTGCGGTAATGAAAATGCGTGAGTTAAGAAGCTCTTAACTCACTGACGTAAATAGAATTTGTTATATTACAAAAATTGTATAATTTCATATACATTTAATTGCGTGAAATTTCTTTTATAGACATTCGTCTATTAAATAGACTTTTAATACAATATTTATATAATTTATTAAACATTTAGTTTACATATAATAATTAGTGTTATAAATAATATATAAGAGAAACGGAAGATACATTATGGAATAAATTATATTTATAGGATTCTAATGTCAGTAGTCACAGGAAAATTTTTAATTTTCTTCGGGAACATCCAGAAATGAATACAAAAGATAACGAAGAAGGTGTAATGAGAGTTGAGAATGAAAACTATGCTTTCTTTATGGAGTCAACCTCTGTCGAGTATATTGTGCAACGGCACTGCAGTTTGGCTCAAGTTGGAGGTTTACTAGACGATAAAGGATATGGCATAGCAATGAAGAAATGTGAGTATCATAAAACTATTACTCTTTACTCTACCTCTTTAGGCAAGTTTTGAAATAAATAAATATAAGTAATAAATTAACATAGAGCAATCACTATATTATGTAGATGCAGTGACCAAGAATCTCTGAATTCTGAACTAAATAATATTAAAACCGATTTGCTTCAGAATGGTTACTCTGCAAAATCCCTAGACAATTTTATATCCAATTGCATGACCGACTCATTGGTACGCCATCGTCAGCCTGAGGAGGATGCTCTCTCTCTCTCTCTTAACGATTCCATATGTGAAGGAAACATCGGAGAAGATCAGGCAATATAAAAAATAGCTAAGCAATATAAAATTAAAACTGTTTTTAAGTCTGGGACTACTCTAAGTATCCTAACAAAAATGAAACCTGAATAATCAAACCTAGAGAAAGAGTGCATTTTATCAGGTACCTTGCGAGTGCGGTGAGTGGTATATTGGAGACACAAAACGTCGTCTACATGTGCGAGTTGACGAACATAAAAAACATACGCAAAGAGGTGAAACAATGAAGACGGGCATTGCAGATCATGTGTGGTCCAAGCACCACAACATAAAATGGTCACATATGTTTTCAATGTATGATTCTTTCTTTCAATTGAGTTTAATATTGAAAAGTACTTACTCGTATTAATGAACTGTTAAACTCGTCAGACAGTTCAAGTAATGAATTTTTGCTGGCCCGTGGCCATATAGGTAACTGGTCGATATTAAAAGAAATCAATAATATACAGGGTGGTCCGCACTGTATTCCGGAAACTTCGGCAGAATATTCTGCAGATAAAAATTAGTAAAAAAGTTATAAATGTATGTCCTAAAATGCTTAGTTTCAGAGATATAGGGTGTAGAAGGTTCTTTTTTATTTCGATTTTTTCTAAATAATTTCTGAAGTAATGTCAATATTTGGATAAAAATTGGTGCTTAGGAGTTTTTTGACATGAGAAATTTGATTTTGATGTCAATATAACTCCTACTGGTAGAGGGCGCCACCCACATGTGTTTTAACTGTTTTGAAGCGTAATAACTTTTTGTCCGTACCTGTATAAAACTACCGAGGGAAAAATATACATCTCTGTGACTTTCTACGTAAAAAATATCTCTTTGTAAAAATCGCTACGAGCAACCGTTCTCAAGATATTTACAATGGAAATAGTCAATACATGTCATTATTGACGAAAAATAAATATAGGTTGAGTAGACAGATATTTTACTGAAATAATAAATTTGGGAAATTTTTATTTTTTTCAATTAATCATAACTTTTTCTGCAAAAAAATGTTGATAAAACAGTTTCTGTTGAACTTTTGACACAAAAACTTTCAAATTTATGACCGAGATAGTCTAATAACTATTTAGTCAACATGTTTAATTTATGTCAATGATGACAGGTATTGGTAATTTCGATTTCAAATATCTCGAAAACCAATACTGGTAGGGGTTTTTACCAAGAGACATTTTTTACGTAAAGAACGTCGTAAATGTATATTTTTTACTCAGTAGTTTTATGCAGGCACGGACGAAAAGTTATTACTCTTCCAACTAGTTAAAAAATATGTAGGTGGCGCCCTCTACTAGTAGGAATCATATTGACACCAAAATCAAATTTATCATGTCAAAAAACTCCCACACACCAATTTTCATCCAAAAATTGACGTTACTGCAGAAATTATCTGAAAAAAATCGAAATAAAAATGAAACTTCTACACCCTGTATATCCGAAACTATGCATTTTAGGACATACATTTTTTATACAAACTTTTTTACTTATTTTTATCTGCAGAATATGCTACCGACGTTTCCGGAATACAGTTTAGACCACCCTGTTTAAATAATTTTTAAGTAAGTTATGTGAATTTTAATTATGATCTAATTCATAGTGTCTAGACCTCATAAAAATTATGTTATTAATGTCTAGACCTCATAAAAATTATCATCCACTTTCATTCTCCAGCCGTCTTTGACGTAATTTTTTTTCGATCATAAGGTACAATAGTTCTAACAAACACAGAAGTAAATTGCAGTTTTCTCATCTGAGGCAGATCTAAACTAAAAACTTAGCTATTAGTTGTATTTTTAAAATTCGTACTTATTTTTCTTGCTACCAGATTCACCATATCGCAATGATCTGAGTACCGCCGTTTTAAAACTTCAAGAAACCGGTAAACTAACACAACTAAAAATAAAATGGTGGAAAGAGAAGAGAGGAGGTAGTACATGTTCGGTAAATAGGTCTATAAAAGACGAATTTGTCAGATTTCAGTTGTACTATCTGATATTTTTTCACTCATTTGAAAATTATAATTTTTTATTACTTTATTATTAAGGCTGTAATGAATTTTGAATATTCATAGTTATTGTTAATGTAAAAATATATAGAGTTTTTTTTGTTAGACACTATGAAAGCTTTATTTTTGATTATCAGATAACTTTGACATCTGATATATTCGGGGTATGAAGCACCAATGGCAATATTTTAATAGGTCATTTGTAGGTTTCTTCTGAGAGTGCTTCAGCTGAAGCTTTGGATTTGAAGAATGTCGGAGGTGTATTTCTAGTTCTATTTCTGGGAGCTATTTTTGCATTAATAGGCTCGTTTCTGGAGATGGCCGCTAGTATATACAAGAGATGCAAGAGCTCCAATTTGAACTTCAAAGAAGAACTACGCAAAGAGCTGGCCTTTACTCTGAAGTTTAAAACCAATGTGAAAGAAGCTCCTATGAAATCCATATCAGATACCAAAAGTATTTAATATGCTTCTGTAACTTTATTGTGACAGTTATTATGGAACGAGAAAACATAGATATTAGTATATTAATAGATAAAGGAAACAAGTTTAGATTGGAATGCTCGGCTTGCCGCCAAAACCGATAAGCCGATTGTTTTGGAGCGCATTCCTTGTATGGCGCTGCTATAGCGGTTGCTAAGAACAACCGCAAACAAGAACAGAAATAATATTCTCTTGCCAAAGTCAGGATCATAGACAAACAAATAAAAAGAGACTGACAAATCCCATGGTAAAGAGTGGGACCGCGTTCCCATAGCGCAACTCAGAATAACAATTTTGAAACCAATTAGCAGGACCATGGCAGGACGTACGTCTTTTTTGCTATCTTTCTTTATTATGTGTGCTTTATATGAAAAAGAAAGAGATAGGTATAAACCGTATCGTAAGACATTATCGCACATTCTAGCTGGCGGAAAATTTAAATTAGCCATTATTAGTAGTATTCTTTCATTCTGAAACTGAAAATTTTCACTTAAACTGATTTATTCCCTATACCACGTAAAGGGAACGTGGTGTAGGGAATAAATCAGTTTAAGTGAAAATTTGCAGTTTCTTTCAGAACGAAAGAATGCTACTATTATAAGGGAAATTATAAAAAAGCAAAAATTGTACTGTTTTATAAACATATTTATTTATACATAAAAATATATAAACTTTTTATAATATAATAACAAAAAATAACAGTGTTTATTCCACCCACCTACCAATTTTAAATGCAGAAGAACTGACTGTTGGAGGAAAAGCTCGGCCAATTTTTTTAAAGGGCATTAAAAATCCCATTTTCGAAAAAACTGCCTAATTGCAATAACAAAGTGAATATCCAAGCAAAGAAGACTTTACGAGAATCATGATCCTGAACCATTTTCAAGTCAAGTTTTAATCCTAAAACAAAAGTAAAATAGTTATATTAATAAAGTTTCTGGTTACTATAAACCAGCTATAAACTACCTACCCAAAAAATGAAAAAATTAATTGTATTAATTTGTTATGTTAAGAGAGGTTCGAAATATTTTTGACACTACTACTTCTACTTTTTTCTTAATAAGATGATAAATATAACTACTTACTTTTATTTTACCGGGTGTCTTTACATATCTATCAGAGAAAGGGGGCACCAATACATATAGAAAATAGATGATACTGGCTCCTGCAGCAAATAAAATAAAAATATATGGAACAAAGGAATTTGTTCCCTATCCATATTCATAAGTCAATAAAATGGAGAGTTTAGAAAAAAAGGTAAATCGCCAAAAGAAAAATTAACAAACATGACGAATTGTCATGATGTTGTCATCTTGGTTGTCATGATGACGAAAACGAAAGGCGATTGTTCTAATTTCTATTTAGAAATTACGTTTTATATGGCTGCTTCTTTCTCTCTTGTTATATTAGAATGAGATAATGGGCCCAATAGATGCAATGTGCAGATCAACATAAATAGAACGTAATTTTGCGTTCTGAGTTGCGCTACGGGAACGTTGTCCCTCTCTTTGCCATTTAATTTGCCAGTCTCTCTTTATTTGTTTGTCTATGGCATAGATAAAAGAAAATAATCTTCTATTAAGATAGATATGAAACTTAATAGTAAAATTTTGGGTCAAAGCGCCCCTCCGTGTTCTTAGTAGAGACTACGTTTAACCCAGCGCCTTCGCCTTTTCTGCTGTAAATATTTTTTATGTTTATATTTGATTTCAAAGGATTTAGTTTTAAAGTTACACTGATATATTAATATATCAGAGTAACTTTAATAAAACATAAGAATATATATATTTTACAGTTTATTAAATATAAATTTTGACTACAAGGTAGAAAGTAAATCACAATATTTGATAAAACTTATAAGTATACCATTTTTACAGTTAATAAATAATGAAACTATTTCTGACTATGATATTTAAAATTTAGATAGATAGAATCTTAAAAAACATACCGGTATTTGCAGACGCAGGCCCAAATTCAATAAAAACCAAAATTTTTCCTGCGAAAATCGGGCTTTTTTCACAGAAAAGGTATTTTTTGATTTATCAACAATCATTGTCAAGTTGACAATATACAGGGTGTTTTCTAATTAGTCTAAAAAATTATGGTGTGATTCCTCATGTGTTCTTAAAACAATTTTTATATAACCATTAGGTCTAAAGTACTTCCTTTCTGATCTACAGGGTGTTAAAAATTAAAAAAAAATCGATATTTTGCTTAACAGAAATGGCTTTTTTAAAGAAAATATATTTTTTTCTTGACTGGCCATTCTTTTTCAACAAAATTGATCCTTTGAGTTTTTCTTGTTCATCAAACGGTTGCCGAGAAAAAAAGAAATATACTTATTAAGAGCCCGCCTTAAGCCGTTTTCTAACGATTTTTTATTTTTTAGATTAATTAGGAAACACCCTGTATATGCATATCATAGGCAACCAAATAAACTAGTAACCCCTAAAAATTATTTTTCCTACCACTAGCGACATACCGTGTTTTTAGTGAGTACTAAATTATTTTATCAAAATTTTACCATATAAGTTTCCAGGCAATGGTCTATGGTCAGGATTCAAAAATTTTAAAATGTTTTAAGATTTAAACCGTCCACATTAAAAAAAATACCGAAAAGTGTCCAAAGCGTCCATTTTCAAGTAAAGTAATTTTTAAGTAATTATTGCTATCTTGTGATTTAATTTAAATTTTATTTATTCAAACCCGTGATAATTGTGAAAAAGTAGCATTATTACTTAAAAAGCTGTATGAACTATGAACTTCAAAAACCATCGTGAATCGTAACATCGGTTTCCAATGTTTCATAGGTATTTCATACATGTTCTTATATAAAATAAAGTTTCTTATATGCAACACACTGTATTTTATTTAAAAAATTATAAGAAAATAATAATAAATTTGAATAAATAATATTTGGCGACATAATTCCGGAAAAATCCGAACAGCTCCGAAAATATCAAAAGCTTTGGAGAGCGACCGTTGTAAGAATAGCGCCAATTAGTATTTATATTGTCCTCATGGAAGCTTTCCAATCTAAACTTGTTTCTTTTATCTATGGTGACAATTACCGTCTGTCATATATTCGAAAAAATATCTTTCTGTTAATTTTGGTACGATATCTTTTGAAATAAGATATTTGTTCGCTAGATTAACTGAAAATAATCTTTCATCAAAAATGTATAATACTTTTCAATATAGATCAGGATAAGTTATTTACTTTTTATTTACTTTTATTGTGAATAGGAATAACACAGAAATGTGGAAAAAATTGTTGAATTTGTTCCTAAAATAATAAAGGTAAAAAATATAAGAAATTAAACATAAAGACATCACTATTTGTAATATTTTATTTCTTTATAATATAATATTTTACAAATATTTACAAAAATAAATTTTCTAACATTTTCATTTAGTTTAGTTATTTTAATTTTTACCTTAGGCAGTTACAAATGTTATTTAATTTTAGATTTAACTAGTCAGTCTTTTCAAATTTTTATTTATATTTTTGTTCATTATAGGTACTAAATTTTATTAAAGTAATAATAAAAGTTAATTTCACAGAAAAAAATAAAGGAAGCATGTTGAAACATGTAATAAATTTAATGTTTAAAACATTAATCTATGAATAATTCTTTAAAAGGCACTAAAGAACTAATATCACCAATTATTTGTCTCACAAAGATCCTCATAGCCATTGTAATTGATTGACCTACTTCATCGTAGACTTCTCTGAAATTTTCGTTTAAGAATTTGTTCATGTTGTCGCCTAAAATAAAAATATACGAAATGTGTTATTAATAAATATTTTGCTATTACATGTTAAATTATTTTGATTAAAATAAAATACTAAACCATTAACAAAAAGTAGTTTTTTAAGGTACTTAATATTTCGTATAACCAAGTTTGATCTAGACCATTTATTTGCCGAATTTGAACGACGTATATTCGGTACCAATTAAACTTTTAGTTACGTAATCGAGGGCACGATTTTTAAATTCATTGTTGCCAACCATGGGTATGTTCGACGCCGGGCTGACTAACTGGAATTTAAATTTCCAGCTGGGGATTTAGGTGGTAGCTTTGCTGTAAATAATGTCAAGTTGCAACATTTATTTATTTATTTCCTGACATTGTCATTCGTTTTGACACTTTAATTTTGTATTACGAGCATAGATAAAGGAAATAAATTTAGATTGGAATGCCCGTCAAAATTCTAGGTCGCGAAATTGTTTTGGGTCACGACCGTTGTACGCGATCTGGCGCTGCTATAGCTGTTGCTAAGAACAACTGCAAACAAAAATAGAAATAATTTTGTTTTGTCAAAAATTATAAAATCTTTCAGAATCTAAACCACTCTCGCTGAAAAAAACCCAAAAAGTGTTTAAAGCATCCATTTTCAAAGTAATTATTGCTATCTTGTGAGTTTAATTTAAGTTTTATTTACTCAAACTCATGATAATTGTGAAAAAGTGGCATCAAAAATTTAAAAATCTGTGCTGTGAACTGCAAAATCCATCGTGAATCGTGGCATAACGTCGGTTTCCAATGTTTCATAGTATTTCATACATGTCCTTATATAAAATAAAGTTTCTTGTATGCAACACACTGTATTTTATTTATAGAATTAAAAGAAAATAAGAATAAATTTGAATAAATCGTCCCATTGCTGCCAAAAATCACTAACTTACTTTTCAACACTTCCGAGAAAAATGCGAAGATGAATTGCATTGCATAAAGATGTTATATTTAGTAACTATTCGGTATTAAAATAAAACATAAATAGCCAGAAATCGTAGTTAATGACTTTTGCAATCGATTCTCCGCTTCAAAACATAGTTAATGATTGAATTTGGTTGTTCGGAAAAATGTTAGTTAGTGACTTTTAGCAGCAATAGAACGAAATAATATTTGGCGATATAATTCCGGAAAAAGCCGGAACCGCCGGAAAATTCCGGAACCGCTCCGAAATTTTCAAAAGTTTTGGGTCGCGACCGTTGCAAGAATAGCGCCAAATAGTGTTTATATTGTCCTTATGGGCACTTTCCAATCTAAACTTATTACGAGTTTTTGGTTTAATTGAATTGTGTGGTAACACTTCTTTTTAGAACCTCTTTAAGTGCGAAGTGTACAACATAGCTTACTAGTCGTAAAAACTAATCGCAACTTTATTATAATGTTTTGAACGGAAAAGCGCCTTAAGGGAGAGCGCCCACTAAAGCAACGTAGCATATGAAGTTGCACATACATGGTAATGATATGGCAATAGCGTTGCATGATTTTTCGGGAAGCGCACATATAAGTGATGTGGCAGTAGCGTAAACATATCGTCCTCAGAGGATGAAGATTTGTTAGCAGATGTAAACCTAATCAATATGAACCAAAATTATCCAAAGTTCGAAACACCCCTTTTGGAAAAAGAGACAAAGGAATATTGGATTTAGTATTTTTAAGGAATTGAATATGTATCCAGAAAGATTTCAAGCATTTTATAGAATGAAAAAAGAAACCTTTGATGTGCTAGTTAGAAAAGCCTCTATCAATGATACAAAACGTATATTGAAGTCCAAATCGTCCTTCATTTTTACTAAATTCGAGTAACGTGTTAATAGCACGTGGCGAAAACTAGAACCAGATCTATGTTTGAAGCAGTGGCATGGCATGCTACAACGACAAATGACACGTTTCTGACAGCGCTACTTCAGTGTGCGCTGATACACTTATTATCGTTTGTTCAATTCGACGTAACTTGCTAGATGCTTGTTACTTGCCAGATCACATGCCACTTCAGATGCTACGTCACTTTGTTGGTGGGCGCTCTCACTTAAAGCTTCTTGGTAACAGCACTTACCTTCTTGGTAAGTTTTGTTGATGTAAATAATAACTGTTTTTATACTTATAATTAATTTATTTTTGTTTCCTAAAATATTTTCATTAAAATAAAATATGTAAAAGTGGACAACGCTATGCAGGTCAAGCTTAATTACGTGACTAAAAGTTTATTTGATATTGTCAAGTAGGACCAAGACTTAAATAGATGTCAACTTGGGAAAAATCATGAAAAATTTAATTCTTCTAACCCAATTTGATGTAGACCCAGGAGATCAGTTACCTGCATGCCACCAACCCAGATATGTTATTAAATAACAGTAAAAATTAAAATATAGCAATCTCGGGTCGGTAATCAAACGCAGGTCACCGAAGTTTCATTTCCTCATGATCATAGCCGGGTTAGTGTAATTAGATTTTAAACTATTGAACGACGTAACCAGCGATGACTACGGGTAATAGGAAGATAAAAGGAGTATGCTGAAAAGAGCGGGGTTAGTCAGTCAAAGAGTTGTTAGTTGACAGTCAGTTAATCAGTAGCCAGTCAGCCTGTTAGTCAGATACTTAGTGAGTTCATTGAGAAGTCAGTCAGCGAGGGAAGATGTTCTTGTAAGTACCTCTATAAACGAATTATCTCGTAGAATTGTACTTCATGCTTTTAAAAAATTTAAACTATTGTATATTTTCGCACAATAAATGTATATTTTTCTAATTGTTGTTTTAATCGAAAGAGTGAACAACCTCCAAGCTTCATAGCTTCAACTGGTTAAAAATCTACCTAGTTCCTTATTTCCGTTAAACAAATTGTCCAGTTTAATCTTGGCTTGTCCAATTTTCAAGTCTAGTACGTCATCTGGTTCCATATGGAAATATTCTTCACCTTTTTTTCTTACTAGTGTATAGTTTACTGTATGCACAGCATCCGAATTTTCTATAAAAGAAATGTTGAAGTTTTCAGAATTTTTATTTTTAATTTACTGGAAAAAATGTAATCTTGAAAAGCTGAGATACATATTATCTTTAGCCTCACCTGTTACTACGTCGAATGGTCCATTTCCTTCAATAGGCAGAATTAAGAGTCTTCCTTTAACATTATAAGTTCCTTGCAACTCTAGACGCTTAGAGTGGACTTTTATAGTAAATGTTTGTTTATTACGGTGTTGTCTATTGAAAAAAAATATATTAGTCGACCTTAGCTGAGCTATCAATACGAACAAAAGAGTAAAGAATACCGGGTGCGTCTCGAAAATGGCTTACCCCTATAACTTTTTTATTTTTTTTAGATAAAAAAAAGAAATTTGGTATGTTAGTATATGACATAAATTAGGATTGATGAGGTGGACTCAGAAATCAGTGACAACCAAGTAGGGTTTAGAAGATGCATGGGTACGAGAGAGGCTCTGTTTAGCATAAATGTGTTAGCACAGAGCTGTATTGATATGAATCAGGACCTGTATGTGTATTTTATAGATTTTGAGAAGGCTTTCGATAAAGTTCAACATCATAGACTAATTGAAATACTTAAAGGCATGAATATCGATAGCCGAGATATGAGGATAATAGCAAATATTTATTGGGGGCAAACAGCGACAGTTATAGTGGACGACCAACTTTCTGATGAAGTAAAGATTCTGAGCGGCATTCGTCAAGTATGTATACTTTCTCCGCTATTGTTTAATATATATATAGCGAATCAATTTTTTGGGAGGCCTTAACTAGTTGAAAGGGGGGCATCACTATTAATGGGCAGCTCTTAAATAATGTGCGGTTCGCGGACGATACCGTCCTTACAGCAGAAAACGTGGAGGGTCTACAAACACTTCTACAAAGACTAAACAACAAGTGTAGAGTCTATGGCCTGAAAATGAACCCTAAGAAAACTAAATTTATGATAATCACTAAGAGAGAAGATGTCCAAGCCAATGTTCTAATAGATGATACACCTATGGAGAGAGTACAAAAATATAAATATCTAGGCAGTTGGTTGATCGAAAACTTGGATCAATCAGCAGAAATAAAAGCTCGAATATCAATAGCCAGAGCATCCTTTGTAAAACTCAAAAAATGTATGTGCAATGGAGACATCAACTTAAAGCTTAGATTAAGAATGCTAAAGGGTTACATATTTGCAACTCTACTCTATGGTTCAGAGGATTGGACACTTAAAAAGGCCGAAATGGAGAAGCTTGAGGCATTCGAAAGATGGTGTTATTGGCGTATGCTGAGGATTGCATGGACTGACAAGGTTACAAATGTAGAACTGCGACGCTGAATTCAGAAGGACGAGGAGGTGATTAACACCCTTAAAAAGAGAAAACTTGAGTACTTTGGACACAAAATGAGAGGACCTAAATATGCCCTGCTGCAAAACATAGTAGAAGGAACATCGTGGCTCAAGAATTTGAGAGAATGGTTTGGAATGACTCCAAACCAGTTATTCAGAGCAGCCATTAATAAAGTTAGAAGTGCCATGATGATTTCCAACCTCCATTAGGAGATGGAACCCGAAGAAGAAGAAGGATTGATTGACGTATTCAGTTGTTTTTGGTCACGTCCTGTTTCACCGAAAATGGCTACAACTTTTGATTTTTAAATGGCACTCTCGGCATATTTCTACTTTATTCGATAATTAAAATGACACTCTGAATAGAATGACATTGTCCACTTCATATGTGACTTCACTGTGTGACTTCATATGTCCACTTTTGACATTTTTGCTTTAAAAAAATTGTATTTTAAATTTCAATCTAGAGTGCCATAGCTGTTTAAAATTACTAATTTTTAATCAAGAAGTTTTGAGAAAATAGTTTTAATCGTCTAATGTTTTTCGTGTCTTGTCCTGGCCGGTTAAAAGATGTCCAAATCGTATTTTTAATCATATCTCATTTTTTTCAAATGGAACAAGGTTGGCTCATTATCATTCTATTCAGAGTGTCATTTTCTATGGAATAAAGTAGAAATATACCTAGGATGCCACTTAAAAAACAAAAGTTATAGTCATTTCCGGTGAAATAGGAAGTGACCAAAAACAGCTGAATATGTCAATCAATCCTAATTTATGTGATAAACTAACATACAAAATCTCGTTTTTTTATCTGAAAAAAACAAAAAATTTAGTGCCGTATATTCGACACTAGTAAATAACAAGGTTCAAGCTTTCTTGGAGGTATTTTTTGATTATGTTCTATTTTGATGCTTGTTTTAAAAGTATGATCCATTGAATTAAATACAAGCTCTCTTGATTATTTCAGAAAAGCAAATAATTAACAGCAACTAGCAATCAAGTTATGACGAGGAGAAATTTTGTTTTTTAACTAAATACTAAAAAAATCCAAAAAAAAATCAAATTTATTAAAAAAAAATCGCGAAAGAAAACTTCATAATCGTGTTTTTGGGGTCGAAATATACACCCCTAAAAATATTTGCACTAATTCAAAACTCACCCTCTATAATACTTACATAAAATCTACCACTTTAACTGTATCCAGGCCATATAGTGCTACATTACTGAGTTTGATCTTGAGGTTAGGTCCACTATCTATATCAACTCTAGGAACCCTCAGAGGTAACATGGGTGGGACACGGTATTTTCTATCTCCTTTTATTATGCTAGGCAAGGCATCGTTTGCTGATTTAATAGCACATGGACTGTCGTATCTCTTGCATGGTTTAATGTATGGAGCTGAAGAAAAAAATATTTATTTATTAACATATACAGGGTTTTCCTTAATGTCATGCTAATATTTAAGGAGGTAATTTTTAGGTGTATTCTAAGAATAAAAGTCACATCAATGTATGTCTATCTAACCTTTTAACTTTTGAGATACAGGGTGGTAAAAATTTCTAATAAAATACTTGTAATACAATATATTTATACAGTAGCTCCTATAATAAAAAACTTGAGAATTTTGTTTAAGTGCAAACCTAAAGTATGTACTAGGATGTTTTCAGGAAAATATTTTAACTTCTATAAGGTGGCTCAAAAATACAAAAAATGTTCATTTTTTAAATCTCCATCTATTGAAAAAATAATATACAGGGTGTTCCATTTAAAAAAACGAAGAAAAATTATTTTATATTTTAGAAAGTATGGCGTAGAATTTTGAACATCCTGTATGATTTACGATTTCCATATTTATAGCAAAGTAAGTACAGACCATCTAAAGTAAATATCTAATATAGTTTTGATTTCAGGACAATTCTTGTATTATTAATATTTTTTTTAAGAAAGGCTGAAAAATATACATATAATTTTTATTTATTTATTAATATCTCTGAAATTATCGAAATATATTTACTCATGTCATAGGATTCTGTTAAGTGATCTGAAAGAAAGCCAAAAATGCAATAATATACAGGGTGTTTCATTTAAAAAAAAATCATCCCGATTCACTCACACTTTTTTGGGCCACCCTATAGACGTTAAAATATTTTCCTGAAATACATCCTCCAATTTAGGTTTACACTTAAACAAAATTCCCAAGATTTTTATTCTAGGAGCTACAGATGCCCGACGCACTATTGCCGGACCCTGTATATTATAAGGATATTATACAGACCGGACCACCGTAGTAGTAACATAGGCAGAACCGGACGAATTAGCGTATACCCGTCCATACATACATACATACAGCCGTTACTCGCTGGCGAGTATTCGACACACATATAGAAGATGGTCACGCAAGGCGTTTTCTTTCATGAGCTTTTCTGTAACTGAAAAGCCCGATACGTGATGTTATTTGCCTACAGCACTCCGGACATTCAAAAATCTCATTGCTTTGTTGCCTCTTTACTTTTTGGTTGTCGCTGTTAACTGAGTTTACAACTCTTCTCCATTGAGTTCTATTGTGAGCTGCTTTTTCCCACTCATTCTGCAGGTTAATTCCCTTTAAATTTTCGTGGAAAATGTCCTTGTATCTTTTCAGTTGTCCACCCGGCCTCCTCTTACCGTCTACAAGCTCACCGTAAAGCAGAGATTTTGGTATGTGGTTTTCTTGCATTCTGCATACGTGACCAGCCCATCTAAAGCGGGATTTTGTGACCATGACTTCAATACTCTCGCAGTTAGCTTTTTCAAGGACCGATACGTTTGAGACATGATGGAACCACCGAACTCTTAAGAGTTGTCTAAGGTGTCTCTGTTGCAACTTGTTTAATGCGTTCATGTGTCGGCGGTAAGGCACCCACGTTTCGCTCCCATATAACATGGTGGGTATTATAATTGCTCGGTATAATGCAAGTTTTGTTTTTGTACTCAAGTCATGATTATAGAAAACCCTGTCTTTTAATTTCCAGAATGCTCTTGAGGCGTTTTCCGAAATCAAACTGCCAAGGTAATTGAATTCCGCCACATATTCCAATAGTTCTTCTTCGATTTTTAGAGCATTGTTGTGATCTTCCGGGGGAGTGCACATGATTTTAGTTTTGTCGATAGTTGTATACCCGTCCGCCGGATAAAAAGCAGGCGAAAAAATGCCATAAAATAAAAATAGGTAGATATGTGATAAGAATGTTTCATAATTTGTATTTATTCGTGTTTTAATAGCCAAAACGAATACATAGATTCTCGCGACAGTTCTCGTGTAAAATTTATTTTTTAAGTAAAATAATAGATGTTTACGAAGTTCGTGAGAAAATTCAAATCGTAAAATGGTATTTCAAAAATAGGTCTTATCGGGATATACAAACAATTTTTCCACAAACTTTTGTAAACAGGCCAATTCTATCTTTACCTACTATATTAAAATTTAAGAGTTATTAATAATTTTGAAACACATGGGTGCGTGTCCCCACAAAAACACAATGTTGATGTGTTGATTAATGAAGAACAGGAGTTAAAGCAAGTGTTTAACCGTTTAATTAGTGGACATGGAACTATTTTGTGATCCGCTAGATCACCAGATCTTTCTCCCAATGATTTCTTTTTGTGGGGCTATGTAAAATCCAAAGTGTATGGTCATAATAGGGCTAATAATCTGGATGAACTTCAAGTAAAAATACGAGATGCTTTCCAAACTATTAGCCCTAATATGTTAGCCAATGTCAGACGGGGATTTTACGACCGCCTAGGCTTCTGTCTAGCACAAGAAGGTGGTCTTTTTCAACACTTGTTATAACTTTTTTTTTATTTAGAGTAATATTTTAGTTCTTTTTGGGTTTGGAGAATTTATTTATTTTTAGTTTTGGCTTCTAAAAATACTCAAATAATAAAGATTTAAGTATTTTTATTTTAAATGTTACCTTATGTGAAGGTAAACACGTAAAATGAAAATAATAAATAGTCGGCACTCCTCGCGTCGTATTCTTAGTCTGTCACGACCGACCCGTCCAAGCACAACTGCAACTTCGTACTGCCTGTCTAGCCGACTAGCCGGCAGTGAATCTCGAGTACGAACGCAAATTGGGTAAACGTAAATTCGTCCGGCAACTTGCTATGTTGCTAGTAGCCTGGTCTTCTCTGTATATAGCTATACTTCATAATATCAGCTATACTTCATGAATCTTGATACACGTCTTCTATGCATCAAAATGCTTTTTTTGGTGTACAAACAATTTTATTTATTTGAACCAGTCAGTGGCGTCTATACGGGTTTTATGCTAAATAAATTTGAAAAAAAATGATACGCCACTAGCTTCTCTTAAAATAAACATTACTTTCAAAATTTTCATTCATTTCTAAATAATTTTTACCTTTTTTTGACTGTTTTTGGCAACAAAAAAAATTGTACATCAAATCATTTTTATGCATAGGATGATGTATCAAATTTCGTAAAGGTAGCTGCAATAACATCAGTGTTATTATAAATATTTTTTAGAAAATCTTACCACCCAAACCCGTATCCCAAAAGTTATAATATTTGGGACATACATTCATATAAAGTTTCTTTCTTAGAATTGGTCCAAGAATCGCCCTCTTAAATATTAGCCTGTCATTAACGAACACCCTGTACATACGCAATAAAATTATAGTAAACTAGTTATCAATTTTGCTATTATGGGTCACTAAGACTAATGTAATTATCATAACATAAAAAAAATTAACGGTTATTATACAAATTAACTAAAATAACTGTTTAATATTAAAACAACTGTATAAAGCCATGATATTAATCAAAATTGATATCTTACTAGTGTAAATTGTACACTAGTTCCTGGTTACCCTTTACTTTGCAAAAATACAGGGATTCTTTCAAAATAACAACCTTAATTAGTTAATTTGAAAAATCATTATTTAGTTTTAAAACTAATCAAATACCTATTTTAGCTGTAACATATGTATAACAAATACTTACGTAATTTGCACCATGCGGTCTCAATCACAAGAACATATAACAGAAATACTTGAACTACCTTCATTGTGTCACTCTATATGTCTTAGTAAAACACCAAACTGTTTCAAATTCAGTTTCAACATCCTCTTTTATATACAATACTATTCGGTTAATGGCATTTTTATGACCATTGCATTAAAATGTCTTTATCAAACTGAATTCTACACGTTCAACAGAAAATTTTCGTATTGGCCATAGACTTAAGGTAATTATTACTATATTATGTTATTTGGTCATTGTACTTCCTGCACGAATAATTAGAGGAAAATTTGCAAGTTTGTTGTTGCTTTATTTAAACAAAGGCTGTATTTTAAATAACGCTTTATAAGTTTATTTTAATTTCTTTTATTTTTAAAAATAATAGCAATGAACTCAATTGTGGCGTACATCATTTTTTATTTACAAAAATGTCAGTTTGAGAATGGCTTTAAAAAAATGAGAAGGTAAGTGTTTGAATTAATATTTAATAGTATGAATGGTATCATTGTTAGTATAAATTAATGAGCAATAATAAATTAAATGCTTGGGATTTACAATCAATAATGGGAGTAAGACATTGAGTCAGGTGAATAAAGTCAAGTAAACGCTTTAACTTTAAAGTTTTTAAGTTACTACTCGTTGGAAGTTGAATAATAAAAGTACTTACTCATGCTCGAAAGTAAATACTCTAGCTCACCTTAATAGCAAGTAAATACTTAAAATTCGATGATTAAAATAAAGTAAAGGCTCCCACTTGTAAGCAAGTTCTCGTTTTTGTGTAAGGTAGGTCCGTGTCATACTTAAATATGAATTTTAAGCAAAATGGCTACTTTTATGCATGTACGTGCGAGAAAAAAATATAAGCCACAATGCTTGTATTATTATTTGTATATCCCATGAGTGTAATTGTAGTTATGAACTGAAAAACATAGGAATATATATACATATATTACCTCTATCTTTATAATAAAGAATAAATTACACTATTAGGTACTTAACATATTATAAATGACATACTATGCTAATATACGAGTAAATATACCTTTATTTTCGGTTATAATATTATAACATATGTACAAATAAGAAAAAAATCTAGAAATTCGTTTAATTCAAAATCAAAAACTCCTTTAAAACACCATCAGTATCAGCAAATGTTACCAGTTCTTTTTGCGTGCTACTGGTGCTAGTGTCTGATTCCCTAAGCCTTTTCAACAATTCAATTATTCTTCACGCATAATTTGGAGACGAGTCAGCCGTAACTGCTCCACTAAAACTAAGCGCTGTAATTCGGATGTTAATAGCTGTGCTGTTTCTTCAGTTTCACTCTGTAATTTTCTTTTTTTCTGTGTACTTTTCGACAAATCTTTGGTTGCGTCAGGAGTAACAGGCACGGGTTGAACTGTATTTTCCACGGAATCTCGATTGCCTTTAAAACATTCTGTTCCAATATTAACACTACCGGGAGTAGAGGTAGATGGCCGATTCACCATCAAGCGGTGGCGGTTGAGGCGCACTGCGCATGCGCGTAAATCAGGTAAGAACGGTTAAAATACGCTAATAAAAAAAGAATAAACAGGTTTGAACAGCTTTGAACTGCTTTAAACCGCTTTTTAGCTTAAAACAACAGACCTGTTAATTTTTTGTTCATACCTGTTTATTTCTGTTTTAAAGCGGTTCAAAGCTGTTCAAACCTGTTTATTCTTGTTTATTAGCGTATTTTGACCGTTCTTATCTGATTTACGCGCATGCGCAGTGCGCCTCCACCGCCACCGCTTGATGGTGAATCGGCCATCTACCTCTACTACCGAGTACTTTGACAAAAACAGGGTTCTCATCAGATTTCATCAGACGAAGAAATTCTTTTTCCCAATCCAGTAATTTAATTGGTTTATTCCCAGTTGCTTGTATGTTATTTAATAACTTTTTCAGTTGACTGACAGTTATTTCCTTTCCAGTATGTTGTATGTATTCTTTTTTTATAGCTACCCATGCTTTTTCTTTGCGTTCCACCCCTTGTGGTAACATAGACTTGTCCAGGACAACTATATTGGTTTTATTATATTTGCAAAGACCGCTCTACTATCACTACTCACTTTGTTTGTGCAATCATCGTCATCATCACTAGAAGCTGAAGACATTACTGCTACGTATATATTTTGTTCTTGAGAAGAATAAAAATATCTGACAAAAGAATTTGATGGGTTCCAAACTAACTCTGCAAACGCGAGAATGACTTGATAAATCGTTTGACCGTAAACATAAACATTCCACGTGAATAACGATCCAACGAGTAAATACTTGCGAAGAAAAGTCGCGGCAACAAAAGTAAACTCTCACAAGTAAAAGCACTCTCTTATGCACATGTTGGGCGAGCAGATACTTTACTCGAGAGTAAACTCTTATAAGTATTTCCTTGTTTTTATTCACCTAACCCATTATTATCTGTGCTTAGAAAAATAAAATCAACACTAAGACCGCGAACACTTTTAAATTTGTATTATACAGACATTCTTCACATTTCTTTACATTTCTTCACATCTTCTTCATTTCTTCTTCATTTTCTTTTATTTTTTCATTCTCTTCTTTACATTTTTTCATTTCACTAAGATTAAAATCGACCTATCGTATTCTTTAAACGCAAATATCTTGAAAACCGTTCACCTTTTCTAACTAAAGAAAGAGTACTGGTTTTACGTAAAAGAGTTCTAGCTTTTTATATCATTTGTAGTAATTACTGTATCTGCTACAAGGATACAGTATCTCCCTAATGGAAAGGTTAGTTTAGTTTGGTTAGTTTACCCTTTCGGCTGTTACGGAATTTTTGCCATTCGGTATGGCATTAAAATGTATGTAAAAGTAACAAATTTCAGGAAGAACGGTTTACCAATACTCTTAAATATAAACAAAATATATTACTTTTATTTAGCCTTTTGAGGGCTGTAACTTTTTCGGGAAGCATTTTAGGGCATATGTTTATAGAAACTATTTGTTTTATTTTTATCTGTAAAATCACCCACTAAAGTTCGATACACTATTTTTTACACCCTGTATACTCTTTTAGTCACATATTTACAAATACATAAATACTCTGTCGGGTAGCTTTCTAGCTATTTCTATTGCAAGTCGCCTTTTATGTGGAAACGATGTTAAAAATATTAACACAATCTTTATTCTGAAAAATAAATGATATATCGAGAAAAAATTAAGCCAAAATTTATTATTAAGTCTATTTTCAAATCTGTAACGGTTTTTTTGTCAAAAAATGACCTAATGTTCTCCAGATGCATATCCAAGGTTCGATACCCAAAGAAACTGATAATTTTATTTTTTCACGATGTGCCGTGCCAGAGGGTAGAGTAGAGAAATATTATTGTATGTTAAATTATTCTGTCAGGATATAAATGAAAATGCATTTTTATTAAATTTAAAAACGTTTTATTAGTATCTTTTTATTGGTTGTTATAATAAGAAAATTGCCATTAGTTTTAAAGCTTATCACACGGATATATGATGTTGCTATTCTGCAAAATAGTCTTTATAGGGAAATGTTTTACTGAAAATGGTTGCCACATCCCTAATGGCTTTTCGCATAGTTGATCTAATTGACGATCCTAGTTCAGCAAACACCTCTTTGGAATTTTCATTCAAGAATTTGTTCATATTGTCAGCTAAAATGTTAGTAAATGTCATCACAGTGTACAAGGTCAATCAATAAATACCTTTGAATAAAAAGATTAATGAAGGAGTATAATGCTATCCATGTATTCATGCATGGTCGACGGAAAGAGAACTCTAGGGTGGGGATCCTTGACAGTTCTGTTTGACTATTAATTTGACACATTTGAATTTGATTTGAGATTTTTTGGATTGGTCAGTCTTTATTGAGCTTATTTTTGTTATTTATTATTTATTCTACTACAGAGAGTTGTATAAAAGTGGTAGATCTAGAAGGCAATTGTGACAGAACTTAAATTAAAAGTGACACTATTGCGATTTATTGCGGTCAAAAATCGAGGAAAATAATGGAATAACTTTTCGCTAGCAAGTGACTATATAATATACATATGTGTAGTAAACCAATCATTTTTGAAATTCACAACGTAAAATAAAACAACAAATTATTGAGTCTACCCCCAGTCTACCTTACTATTATCGTTTTGAATAAAATTAGAACGGCACTGATAAATCGGAATTTAAGTCGGCCATTTTGGAGTCCCGTCGCGGTCGATCTAAGATTTTTGATATGCTCCTTCCCTATTATTTTTATTCAAAGATAAAAACAGTATAATATTGTGGTATTCTAATATTGTTATTATTTGACTTTACAGGCGAGCCACAAAAAATACATTTTTACTCCAAATAGAGAATGTTATTTTTTTCCAAACGTCACAAATAATTTTTGAAACAAATTCAAACGTAAATAATATAAAAAATATACCGTAATTATACAGGGTGAATTTTAAATAAGTGCAAATATTTTCAGGGCTGGTAGATCTCGATAAAACATATTTTCTCTTTACCGTTTTTCAAATAAGTCCAAAATATCCGAGTTATTTCCAAAAAAAAAGAACTTTTGCTTAAATTTTGAGAACCACAGGATCTTTTCCGGGTTTTCCTTTTTGTAAATTTAATCTATGTTGCCATATTATCAATAAATTATGATTTTTAACTAAAAAAAGTAAAATTCCAACAATTTTTCTTATGAAAGATACCTCGTTATCGTGTTTCTGGGGTCGAAATATACAGGATGGCCCATCGAAATCGTTCCGCAAGGCATAACGGCCAGGGTAAATTTTTTTTCAGAAAATTTAAGAACACGTCAATTTTGTTTGTAAGGGGGACTACTTTTGCCCCAAAAATGTTTGCAAAATCTTCAACCCTCTAAGCGGGGGTGTCATCCCCCAATTTTTTTCAAATGGGAAGGGGGTCAAGTGGTACCGCAATGAAAAGGGCTGTTTATTCTCTATACTATCCCGCTTCGTTTTTGAAAATCGGTCGAGTCATTGAGAAAATATGAAGGATTGAAATTTGAAAAGTTTATTTAAACATTTATCAGAGTAAATGATAAGGATAAATTCCTTCGACCAATTTGCTGTTTTTTTCTTATTATTTCTAGATGTTTACGCATTTTTTCACTTGCCACAAGGATGAACGATCGGGTTAGGTAGAGTGTACTTTCTTTTTGAACGGTGTAGTTAATTGGCACAACTGTCGTTACTGGGATGAGGACAACCCCAGGGTTTTTCACGAGGTGCACGCACAAAACCCTCAGAAATTGAAAGTGTGGGCTGGTATTTTTAGAAATTCTAGAGTCCTTTTTTTCTGAGAGTCCTTTTTTTCTTCCTGGAAATCTATAAGGTGATAAATACTTGGATTTACAGAAAAATACCATCGACCCAGCCCTAACTGACATCATAGAGAACAATCCTGGATACGTTGAAACAGAACTAATATTTCAACAAGACGGTGCACCTCCACATTACTCTCAAAATGTGCGTAATTATTTAAACAATAACTTTCCCGTTCGGTGGATAAGACGAAGGGGTGCAATTGTGTGGCCTCCCCGGTTACCCGTCTTGACTCGTTTAGACTTTTTTCTATGGGGACACATAAAAAGTAAAGTATAGCACTCCACCCGCCTCATTAGAAGACCTGCGAAGACGAATTATTGCTGTTTGTCGCGAAGTGAAGTTGGAAGTTCTGCAGAATGTTCTAGAACGGATTGAAAACAATTTGTTTTACTGTATGGAGGTTGACGGGCAACATTTTCAGCATTTGCTTCATTAATAAGATAAGTTTTTTTTAATTAATTCAATTTATGCGTTTTTTGCAAAAAGTACTTTTCAAATTTCAATCTTTCATATTTTCAAAATGACTCGACCGATTTTTAAAAGCGAAGTGGGAAAATATAGAGAATAGAAAGCCCTTTTCATTGTGATGCCACTTGACCCCCCTTCCCATTTGAAAGAAGTTGGGGGATGACACCCCCGCTTAGAAGGTTGAAGATTTTGCAATTATTTTTGGGGCAAAAGTTGTCCCCCTCACAAACAAAATTGACGTGTTTTTGGATTTTTTGAAAAAAAAAACCCTGGCTGTTATGCCTTGCGGAACGTTTTTGATGGGCCACCCTGTATAATAGAATAATAGCTCCCGTATATAGCGTTTAACGCCCTTGGGAGTAGCAAGGTACAGCACTACGCTTCAACCGCCTATTATTACCTCAGGATTGTGAATCCCAAGTACTCATTTAAGGCTGAGTCGACCTAGGTACCCAAACTATTTTTATTTTAATAAAAATAGTCGGCTGATGCAATGCCGGGTGTGGGATTCGAACCCACTACCTTCAGATTGGTAGACGAGAGCCTGTACCTCTACCCCACCGGGCACCTTGCGGTCGAAATATACTAACCCTAAAATATTTGCACCTATTTAAGACTCACCCTGTATATCGAGTCAATCACGTCACAAAATGTAGTACTTTTTATTTGTTTTTTTTTATTTAAAAATAATATATTTATGTCTATTTTTAATAATACATACCGAGTTCCTTGTTTCCATTAAACAAATTCTCCATATGGAAATAGGCATGTTCGCTACTTGAGGTTAGCTCATCGTTAGGTAAAATATTAAAGTAAGTTTCTCCATCCCGGTCGTACAATTCAATGTGGAATGTATAAACAAAATCGGAGTTTTCTGAAATAAAAATACATACGTGAATTATTAAACTACATATTATAGAAAATTATCCAAAGCTGTATAGTTTTAATATCAACGAGTATTCCAGGTACTATACTACTACTTATTACAATATATCTTATCTATAAATCCACTAAGTCTAGAATAGACAATATAATATAATATATTTTCGGTAAGTAACAGATTTTTTTTGTTATGTCAAATTTGTTCTTAAATAAGAGAAGATGTCCTGATATATCTAGGCTTTTACCACAGAATATAATGTGCTTTTACATAAAACAGATATTTTCTATACAGGGTCCGGCAATAGCGTCGGGCATCTGTAGCTCCTAGAATAAAAAACTTGAGAATTTTGTTTAAGTGCAAACCTAAAGTATGTACCAGGATGTATTTCAGGAACATATTGTAACTTCTATAGGGTGGCTCAAAAAAGTGTGAGTGGACCTGGATGATTTTTTTAAATGGAACACCCTGTATATTATTGCATTTTTGGCTTCCTTTCAGATCACTTTACATGACCCTAAGATATGAATAAATATATTTCGATAGTTTCAGAGATATTAAAAAATAAATCAAAAATATATATTTTTCAGCCCTTCTTAAAAAAATTATTAAAAATACAAGAACTGTTCTGAAATCAAAACTATGTTAGGTATTTATTTTAGATAATCTGTTCTTACTTTGCTATAAATATGGTAATAGTAAATCATACAGGATGTTCAATATTCTACGCCAAACTTTCTAAAATATAAAATATTTTTTCTTTGTTATTTTAAATGGAACACCCTGTATATTATTTTTTTATTAGATGGAGAGTTAAAAAATGAACATTTAGAGTATTTCAAAATTTTTAACGGTTTCGCAGATACGCGCAGTATTATTTCATATGGCGCTTTCAATGAGAGAAAAATCATTGGGTGGGGCTTTGATAAAAATTTACTGTGGAAAATGCCATATGAAATATAAACCCGCAAATATCTGCGAAACCGTTAAAAATTTTGAAATACTCTAAATAAAAAAAATGTTCATTTTTTAATTCTCCGTCTATTGAAAATATAATATACAGGGTGTTCCATTTAAAAAAACAAAGAAAAATTATTTTATATTTTAGAAAGTTTGGCGTAGAATTTTGAATATCCTATATAATTTACGATTTTCATATTTATAGCAAAGTAAGTACAGACCATCTAAAGTAAGTACCTAATATAGTTTTGATTTCAGAACAGTTCTTATATTTTTAATAATTTTTTTAAGAAGGGCTGAAAAATATATATTTTTGATTTATTTTTTAATATCTTTGAAACTATCGAAATGTATTTATTTATATCTTAGGGTTATCTAAAGTGATCTGAAAGAAAGCCAAAAATGCAATAATATACAGGGTGTTCCATTTAAGAAAAATCAGCAAGGTCCACTCACACTTTTTTGAGCCACCCTATAGAAGTTAAAATATTTTCCTGAAATACATCCTGGTACATACTTTAGGTTTGCACTTAAACAAAATACTCAAGTTTTTTATTGTAAGAGCTACAGATGCCCGACGCACTATTGTCAGACCCTGTATTTTTGAAACACTTTTTCTTCACTGGCAATATTCTCAGATTTATGCATGTATGAAGGAATCCATAGCCAAATATATAGAAACAGTATATTCAAACAATTAGTTGTAATTTTTAGTGCTTATTTAATTTTAAGAAGAAAATTCTCAATAAAACATATTTTGATAATAAATCTAAATTAATGATATGAAATAAGAATTATTCCTTAGAGGAAATCTTATTATATTTGGGTAAATATCCAAATGGCATGTTAATTACCGTAATAATTGTCATTAATATATTATCTCATTAAATTGGTAAAATTTTAATGAAAAGAAAATCTATTAATTTATTGCTAATGAGTGAAGGTCAGAAAAATTCCTGAATAATTTACTGACGATGTGGAAATGTATCAATAAAGTGCATATATATTTATAATGTATACTGATAAAACGATGTTGATAAGAATGATATAGGTGAATATGTGAGTTTTACTAATTTTTATTTAATTTAATTGTTTTATTCCATTATAAATATTCCGGTGCAGGATTTGCATTATAAAATATTAGTTTAAATTAAATGTACAGAGTGTCCCATTTTTATGTGTTTTGCAGGGTTACTCGTTCATAAGTAGATATTCCAAGATGCTGTTTTTACATCACTCGGTCACTTTTTTATCAAACTAAAGATATGTACTTGCACTTGATCAATTGACATAATTTGTCGAGTTTAGACGGTCATAATATTGCATTCATGCGAATTGAATTCATGTGACTTGATCAACTCACTTGACTTGTTTAAATGTGCCTTAACAGTTTCAACGTTACTGAAGCCTAGAAAGAAAATTGGGAAAATAGTGAACACCTTCATCGGCAGTTGCCATGCATAACAGAGAAACCACCGGGTTTTAAACTACTGCCACAAATTACCTATAACAGATGCGAAAGAAAGCGACTGCATCGGAAACCGCTCGGCAAACCCGACACGCCTATTGAGTGGTGTAAATACACCAGTCGTTTAGTCCGGAAACCTATGCTGTGTCGTATTCGCTTGCTGGAATGACATAGTGCGTAGTTATATGTTTCTTTTTAAAAACGCGTGTAGGATTTTTGTTGAACTTTTGAACTGTTATTTCTAAGTTTTGGTAATTTGTACATCTTATTTAAAATGGGATGCAAATGTGTTTATTTATAAGGAAAAGAAAGATATTTATAGTATAAAAAATTAATTTATTTAACAAAATTTAATTAAAAATGTTTTCCATTAGTTCTATCGGACTTTTTTCGACTATATAAGTAAACTTTAATACATCAAATATTTTCAATCTAAGAAATCATTTAATGATGTAAATAAGAGGAAATTTATCACATGGGTGGTCAAATTTTATAGTTTTCATTATATCAAACAGCCTCTGAGAAATGTTTTCAACTCAAAATGCCTTTAATTATGTTTGACTACATCATTAAAAAGGGTCTTCAAATACATCAATGTGATATTTGTCTAAAATTTGCAAAAGAATCCGAATCTCTGGATAACTCGAAATTATTTACCCATTTAAAAGCCTTTGATCATGAAAGTGGAAAAAATTGTTCATTTTATTTACAGGCTGGAGAAATTATTTATATTAAATTTTGATTAGTTTTGCACTGAAGAAAACATTCAGAGGCTGTTTGATATAATGAAAACTATAGAATTTGACCACCCATGTGAGAAATTTCCTCTTTTTATTTATTTACATCATTAAATTATTTATTAGATTGAAAATATTTTATGCATTAAAGTTTACAAAAAATAAAGATTTATATAGTCGAAAAAAGTCCGATAGAACCAATAGAAATGTAACTATTTTGTCACATCTTTAATTAAATTTTGTTAAATAAATTAATTTTTTATACTATAAATATCTTTTTTTTTCCTAATCTCGTACGAGCTGATATAATATGACGAGCAATCTATTAAATTACTGTGAGATTATACAGAAAAGTCCACAGACTTCGAGACATAGGAAAATCAAGTCCATTTAGCGTGTGTCCAAATTTTGACAAGTTTTCAAAAATGACAGTTTTGTTTAGACTGGCGTTTAATTTCACCTGACTTCTCGGTGAATGATTTCTTTTTATGGGGGTACATAAAATCTAAAATTTACGGCCATGAAGAAATTCAAAACTTGGAGCAGTTAAGGCAGAAAATATTTAATGCCTTTGACACTGTCACCCCTGATATGTTATCCAATGTGAGAAGGGGATTTTATGATCGTTTGGTTTAATGCAAGAGGGAGGCACTTTTGAACAATTTTTGCAATTTTTTAAATTTCATTATCCTGTTTTTTACCGTTTACCCATTACCTACCTTGACGAACATGGGAAAACGAAGGTCCTTTTCAGGATCACAAATATTTTTATTGAGAAAATTGGTAACTTTTTTTTGGATTAAAAAACAAAAGTTGTTAATATAATACCAATTTAAAAGTGTTTTAGTAGTTTTAATACACACTATGATATAAAATTTATTATTATTATAATGTACATTATTAATACTATTGTTCATTCGAAATGGCATTAAGGCCCAATTGCAACAATGATTTAAATTTTTCTTAAAGATAAGTAGAGCTTAGAATGAGCTGTATTTATATTTACTTTAATATTCACCTTAAATGAGGGAATTTGACTGATACAGTTTTTGAATTTGAATTGTTTTTAATGATACTAACAATTTTAGTTCAATTTTTAATAAAATTTATTTAATATTAATAGAAATCCAAGAGATTTGAAACCGTGCCGTGGCACATATTTTTCTTTCTTAACTTAGCTGTTGGAAGAGATATTTATATTTTTTGGTAAATGTTTTACTACGCTTATGGTGTATACGGTGGTATCATACTAATTAATTACGAAAAAAAAAACGTATTAAAATGTTAACAAAAGGTACAAAACTAGTATTGACGTATAGCACACATCAAGTACAGGGTGTCTCACTAAGAATAGCTCTCGGCTGTATCTCGGAAAGTATTAGTCGTAGAGCTTGCGGAAAAAAATATTTATAACTAAAGAGAGCATGAAAAATTGCTGGAAATTATTTTCAAGTTTTTAGAGCGGCCGCTAGAGGGCGCAACTGCTATTAAAAATAAAAAAGGAGTTTTTACACAATTTTGCCTAGATAACGGATAGTATGAATAATAAATTCATAATCTTCAGTAAATTTGGTATATTTTATTATTGTTAGAACCATTTTCCCCTATCTGTCAAAATAAAGTGGTGGGGGAAGGTTAGATCTATTTTTATTTAAACATTAATAACTCCGGACTGGATGAACGGAATCTAACAAACGGGGGTTCGTTTAAAAGAGTGTTGTTACTCTATATTATAGCGTATAAACAATAATAATAAGCTGTTGAATGTAGACGCTAGGGGGTGCTGTCTTACAATTTAACAAACATTGCGCGTTTTTTCAAAAAAAAAATGCGATAGTTTATATAATTTTAGCTGATAGTAAAGAGTAATAAAAGTTTAAAAAGTTAGCGAAAACCGCATCTTGATATTCTCTTTCAAGCCGAAGATATTAGCAAAATTATAATAAATGCGAAAAAACAAGCCTTTAATTACCTTAATTTTTTAACACGGTTACAGTACCCCTCTTGATTATAACCATTCTAATAAAAAATAATATAGAAACGATTAGTGTATTCTAAAATCGACAATATACCAGAATACGATAATACCAGATGTATTAATATCTAATAATTAAGATATCAATGACAGTGAATAAGAAACGACGCCTCAGTGAAGTCATGGTAGGCTTTGGAAAAAAGATGCTTTTGGCGTATAGTATAAACGTCAAAGAGTTATTAAATCAGCATTTTGATAGTCTTAGCAGCGTTTTTCCTTTTTTGAAGAAAGGCATTTTTAGAAAAGCAACCAAAAGATAAAAAACGCTGCTGAGACTATCAAATTGTTGATATAATAATATTTTGAGTTTAAACTATCTCTTTAAAAGCAACTTTTTTTCAAAGCCTACCATGAATTCACTGAGGCGTCGTTTCTTAGTCACTCTCATTGATATCTTAATTATTAGATATTAATACACCTAGTATTATGGTATTCTGGTACATTGTCGATTTTTTGAACGAAATAATCTTTTCTATAGGATACTGTGTTAGAAAGATAAGGTAGTTACGGGGCTTATTTTTTCGTATTTATTATAATCTTGCTAATAACTTTGGTTTGAAAAAAGATATGAAGATGCGGTTTTCGCTGAATTTTTAAACTTTTATTACTCTTTAGTATCAGCTAAAATTATATATACTATCGCATTTAACTTTTTCGAAAAAACGCGTAATGTTTGTTAAATTTTAAGACAGCGCCCCCTAGGGTCTGCGCTCAAAGACTTATTTTTATTGTTTATATGGTATAATATAGAGTAAGAAACTTACCCACTTATTGGATTCCGATCAACCAATCCGGAGTTATTAACATTTAAATATAAACAGGTCTAACCTTCCCCCACCACTTTATTTTGGCAGATAGGGGAAAATGGTTCTAACAACAAATATGCAAAATTTACTGAAGATTATGAATCTATTATTTATAATATCCGTTATCTAGGCCAAATTGTGTAAAAACTCCTTTTTCTTATTTTTAATAGCAGTTGCACCCTCTAGCGGCCGCTCTTCAATACTTTCCAAGATACAGCCGAGAGCTATTCTTAGTGGGACACCCGGTACATATAATATCAGAAAAATAATTATCGAATTCAATAAGAAAACGCTAAAAAGGTCGACTGTTCAGAGTGGACTCTTTATTTACCTATGAAACGGAACTCGTGGCACTGTATTATCGCTGCAGCTTTTACACTTGAAAGCTGAACTAATCACCATTGTAATAAAGTTTATACAAAGTTCACTACAGACAAACTATTAAAAATCGCTAAAATTTTCGCTAATGACCAGCTGATGACTCATTCGTTGACACCAGCAAAATGACGTGTAATGTCACAAATTCTGCTGCAGCCCGTATATGGGAGTTACATGTCCTTGTATTCTTTAGTGAATGGTAAAAGCCAATCCCCACGGCGCCGTGACCGTGGCGTGACTGCAGTACCGAAGACAAACGGTGAAATATAGTGAGGAGGAAGGTCCACTGAGATCTTAACCTGTCGAGATGGTCGATTTCCTGACTGCCATTAAAAATGCAATTGAATACATAAATGGATTAAATGTGCGTTTGTGATGGTTTTGTTTGCAATATTTTACCCGGTATTCATTATTTGTTTCTTGTACTTTTTTATCTTTTGTAGACGTGTAAGTGGTTTGTATTTTTATTTTTTGATGTCTAGCCATACGATAAATCTGTAGTACTAAAGCAGAATCCGATATGTCAAGAGAAATAATGTTAACATATCGGGTTCTGCCTTAGTACCACAGAAATAATGTCCGCTAGGACTGGACTGGCTCGGAAAATGTTTACAAGGTGGCCACTGACGCCAGGTACTAAATGCGTGTAGATCAGCCTTTATATTTGCTAACGTTTTATTGGAATCAACAGTACTTACCAACTGTCACATTTATAGGACCGCTGCCTTCAATTGGCATCATTAACAATTTGCCATTTATCTCGTAATTTCCTAGAACCTCCAATCTCTTAGATTTTAGATGCATCGTGAAAGCTAGTTCATCACGATGATGTCTACAAAAATTAAGATTTACAAAGAATAAAAAAAAATCAGTGAAACAAAAAATTTCAATCAAAATAATACTATACATGAAACTATAATAATGTATGAAATTTCAGAACTCTAAAATAAATTAATAAATGATTTTCTGACGGAAATTGTTCAAAATTAATATTGAGTTTCAATTAAAATATCGAACAAATTATTTCTTACGTATAATCCACTAATTCCATCGTATCCAATCCATTGACAATGATGTCGGTCATGGTTAGTTTAAAATTAGGACCACTTTCAACTTCTATTTTGGGCAATTTCAGTGGCATCAAAGATGGTAAATGGTACTTTTCATCACCTTTTAGTAGAGTTGGTATGGCATCTTGTCCAGATTTAAGGGAGCAAGCATCGTCGTACATTTTACATGGTTTTATATAAGGGGCTAATAGAAGAGTAATAAGATAATTTATTTATAATGAATATTAATTAATAACTAAAAAAAATAACTAATAATTATTAATTCTTTTATTAATTTTACTTTTTAATTTATTCTTTTATTAAATTTTTATTAAAAATGAAGTAAATTTACAAATCTTTTTTTAATAGAAGTAAATTTGAAGTAAGCCTAGAAATAAAAAAAATTTAGATTTTTTATAATTTAAAAATGATCTTATTACTAATATTTTTATTTGACAATCAAAAAGAAATATAAAAAATTGAATTTGAATTAAATTGAAAAGTTAGTTTCTAAACTATGTTTTCAAAAGCACATACTATTGATCGTTTGCACTACTGATTGTTAAACTGGTTGATTAATTTTTATAAAGTTTTAGAAAATAATTTCCTAGTTATTTCAACAGATTTGTTTGTACTAAACCGTATTCTATAGTTAATTTTGTAAGATAATTATATATTTACTTTGAATATGGTAGACAATGATTCAATATTTAAACAAACCGAATTTCGGACTTCCATTGTCTTTATTTATTAACTCTGAAAAGTGTCCTAACAAAAAAAAATCAGAATCATCAAAACAAAAGAAAGAGTGCTTCTACCTGGTACCTTGCGAGTGCGGTGAGTATAGTATATTAGAGAGACAAAAGCCCGGATTGTCCACAAAGAACCCCATTGGAAAAAACGTAAAATTAAAAAGAGGCCGTATTCATATCTAACAATAATAAAATCTTTATTTTTTCCAAATATAAAAAAAATTGGTCAAGTGCGAGTCGGTGTCGCGCAGGAGGGGTTCCGTACCATTCATTATCTATACAACATTAGTCACTATATTATTATAAACTTTTTTTTCCGATTTAGCTGAAATTTTGAAAGCGCGTATAAGTAATTTAAAAAAAATGAAGAAATACATTACTAAAAATTATATTAATCAATAATAGATATGTAAAAAGTACAAATAAATATGTAAAAATATGTAAAAATTAAAAAAAAACGATTAAAAAAAGTCGCCTTGACTAGGATTCGAACCTGCCTTACTATGGCTCTAACGTCATACCAGCGTAAAGTCCTAACGCTTTGACAACGCGGCCACCGAGGACTTGAAAGATTCTATATAAAATTCTTACTTAAAAGATAATGTTTAGTGGAAGTACTTTTTTATTTATAAACATTTATTTAATTCTTTAATTTTAGTATTTGTTCTTATGGCAGCAACATAGATACGTTATTTGTAAAAAATTCAACTGTCTAGCTATAACGGTTCAAGATCGACCTTTGTGACAGACGGACGGACGGATGGACGAACGGACGAACGGACGGACAGACGGACGGACAGCGAAGTCTTAGTAATAGGGTTCGCGTTTTTACCCATTGGGTACGGAACCCTAAAAAGTAAAGAAGTATAAAAAAAACTAAAAAAATAGAGCTTACGTAATGTGGTGTATCCTCCTTCAAAAATTACTAGTAGTACTAAAAACAGTACATCCATCGTCATGTCCATTTTATATATCTTTTGTATCTACGATGGCCGAACCTTCAAATATGCTACTCTTAAATTCTAAAAAGTATTATCTTTATATATTGAAATGCATGTGGTATATTTTTTGCAATAATAATAATAAATTTATGAGACTTTTTTAAGCATGTCATGTATGTGAGTTTAAAATAAATTTATAGTCATTTAGAGTTCATTAATAGAGATTTATGACAAATATAATATTTTTTCAATGACATTAACCAAAAATATGTCTTAAGACACGCAATTATTGATGCATTTATTTTTGAATAATTATTTTTTTATTATCTTAAATAATGGATGGGGACATTATATTATTGCAAGTTTTCTTCGCTGTAAGTTTTCTGAAAAGGTAAATGTGCCTTTTCAGAAAACTTGGCGTACTTCTAATTCAAACTTTAAATGCAACTTAAGTATTATTGTTTATTTTAAAGAAATTTCTTAAATTTGCTAATTTACAGGTTGGTACAACAGTTTAGTTTTATTTATTTAACTGCCCATGGTATTGAAACTTGGAGAGCCAGATGCTTATTCCTCTCTGAATAGAAGAATAAAAAGTGATTTAGTGTACTCTTCAAAATTGTTAAATATTCTGCTATAAGTACTTCACCTTAAGTGTAAATTGCTGAAACATCACTAAAAAATGTATTTAATTCTATTCTGGTGTTTTATAAAAAAAACAAGTCCTAAAATGTCGGAAGCATACTGTTGTAAGCATAAAATTACAATTAATTATTGCATTTTTTACTAGATTCACATTAAGCATAAATATATGGATAGTTTTAACATGGGATAGGTCTTAAGAGAATGATCACTGAAGACCGTTCACTTCGGAATCTCAATGGCGATCAATAGAAAATGGAAAAAGCAGCAGTCCTTATAGGCCGGTTAATGCACAGTAAGTATAAGTAAGCTAAGGCACATCGAAGTTGTTATAGCTGCACTTAACAGATCTTATTCTCTCATTATTTAAGTCTAATATTCTTCCAAAGCTGAAATTTAGATCATTCTCCACTAAAATTACTGCACACAACAAAATGTAATGTAAAATAAAACTCATCGGTGCTAAACCCTCACAAGGTGACCGATTTTTATGATTTTTTAAGCAGTTTTTAGCTAAATTATTTGACTTTTTAGTATCTCTTTCTAAATTAAAACTAAAAGTTTCCATCTGTCAATTATACGAGGGAAAACAAAATGTTGATATTTTGGTGAAAGTTTGAAACACCCTGTGGAATATATTAATAAAGCAAGGACTTTAAAAATCATTTTCTCACCAAGGCGAAGAATTTAAAAATCAATATATCATCTAGGCATATGTTTTCTCAATAGTTTGTTTTTTGATCCATTTCAATAGCTTTATTTTTTTGGAGATATTCACTTTTGAAGAAGAAAGTAACATTTTTTCGTATTTTTTACATTAAAACAATGCCCTTGCTTTTTGATCCTAGTCAACAAACCTATAAAATAGTGTTTATGATTTATGTAATGTCACTGTTTTTGGAAAATGAAAATCATTATGTTATTTTCAGTTAGGCAGTTACTTTAGTAGATATGGTTTTAAGTCCAAGAGTTGATGTGCTATGATCAATTAAAGCAGCAATAACCAATACCTCAGAACACTCTACTAAAGTAAACGTCAATAAACAATAATACAATAATAATACGAATTTTCAAAGACAGTGACACTACCAAAACAATAAACACTATGTGATATATGTGATGAGAATCCAACATTAATGCTAAAATTGCTGTAAATCGTTACTGTGTTATTCAAAAGCGAATATCTCCAATAAAAATAAAGCTATTGCGATGGAGGAAAAAACAAACTCTCGAGAAAAGACGTACCAAGGTGAGAAAATGATTTTGAAAGTCCTTGCTTTATTAATATATTCCACATGGTGTTTCAAACTTTCACTAAAATATCAACATTTTGTTTTCCCTCGTATAATTGACAGATGGAAACTTTTAGTTTTAATTTAGAAAGAGATACTAAAAAGTCAAATAATTTAGCTAAAAACTGCTTAAAAAATCATAAAAATCGGTCACCTTGTGAGCGTTTAGCACCGATGAGTTTTATATATGTATAATCTGCACTTACTTGACATTGGTAGAGTATTGGTTAAATTATTACCTTAAAAATTGATCCTAATTGTTTCTTGACAAAAATTTGAAATAAATATCTTTATTAAAAAAATGAAAATATTTAAAACTAATAATATAGTATAACTAATAATAGACTCAGTAACTACTAGTATAGAAATAAATAAAATAACATAATTTAAAAACATATCTTTATTTTTTTAGTTATAATTACATACAACAAAAAAATATATAAAATATACAAGTAATCTGATTTCAACTTCACTGCCATTATTCCATGAGTATTATCACTGAATAAAAAGCTCTCTGAATGGTATATTTGCTAAGATCTCTCCAGCCACTTGTCTGATTATAGCTGAAATTGTTCCTTTAACTGTACCTCCTAGTTCTTTAACAACGTCCTGTTGATTATCGTTCAAAAATTGATTGACTTGGTCTCCTAGAAAATAGGAGAACATTATAATAATGACAATAGTGACATTACTGAATAAAATAATAAAAACTTATTATTCTGATAATATAGAAAGATTAACGTTGCCTGGATTTTAAAAACAGAGCAATTTATTTTTATAGAAAGTAGATTTTTTTTATAGAAAGTAGGAACATTTTACAAGATTCAGTCTGAATTTCTTCGAATATCAAGCAGAAAAACACTACAGTTATGAAAACGCAAAGAAATGTTTTTCAAATAAATAGTAGTCTGGTTCCTCTAAAAGGAGTTAACTTAGAGACAGGACATAAATATTATATAAATTAAATATTTTTCGGGTTGGAAAATTTAGTGTTACTAATGCTAAAACAGTTGACGTGTCTTTCGCTAACCATGTTAAGATCATCAGCAGATGATTCAAACTAAACTGACTACTAAAACTAAACTTTATTTTTAATCATTCGTTGATGATGCTAACATGATTAGTGAAGCGCGCATCGAGGGTTTAAAAGTTCAATATTTTCGTGCACTGTGGCAATATTATTTTATTTTAACACAGACAAAAATTGTCGTAAATGAAAAATAAAATCAATAATTGGTCTTACCCATTTCCTTGTTTCCATTAAACAAATTATCGAAGTCAAATATCGCTCTTCTAACAACAAAATCTAAGTTATCATTTGGTAACATCACAGCATATTCCACACCATTCCTAGATTCTAACTTATAGTTGAATGTATATTTGAAATTCCCATCCACTAAAAAATAAATCACTAATTAGGAATTTTTATTTTAGAATCATAAAAAGTTTGTCTCAGAAGTTCTAAAAATATACTTGGTTATTTTTAGAACCTCTCTTATTTTTTTTTAAATATACATCATCGTTGTAAACATAGGAAATCTCATGCAAATTCTGAACTGTCCAAATATTGGATATTCGTTCCTCTATTATGCTAACTGTTCCAATTATCGTCACATTAAGGGAATATTCCAGTTCAGTTATGCTATAAAATTCCTAGCTATAAAATCCGAATTATTAGTATAAGGCTGCCTATGCTGAATACACATGCCAAATTTGAACAATCCTGAACAAGCCAATTTTAAATAATTTAAGGAAAACTGCATCTATTTTTAAATTAAAACTGATCAGGTAACAATCCAAAACCAGGCAAATGTCAACATACCTTAAGTTGTCAAACTATGATTTTATCATTGTCAAATGTAATTTGTTGTACTAGATACACTACTAAATCAAGAAAAAAAACTAGCCGTAAATTGGAAATGTCATAATCACATTTTCTTGAAATGCACAGTAATTATTGGGACTTAGAGCTGCAGCTTCAATCGTAGAATGCATGCATAACTGAATAGTTGCAGAGCTTAAAGCAACCTGTTTAATAGCCTCAATAATTGTTAGTCGTTAAGAAAGATAAATCGGTGAAAGTTCATAAAACGTGACCACCCAAAAAAAAGAAAAAAGAAAAGCAGAAAAGTACTTTGCCAGAATGGTCCTGGCAGCCTAGGCAACGCAACTCTCTCCTGAAAAGGAGAGTTTGAGAAGAAAGAAGAAGAAGATACACTACTAGGTAATAATACCTATGCTTAGTGTCCCCGAAATGTATTTATGTAATTTAAAAATGGTTTAAATGAGGCAAAATTCTAACGCTTAGAAAATACAATTATTTGACATTAACGCAATTATAAGATGACAACTTAAGTTGGCATTTGCCTGGTTTTGCATTGTTAGCTGTTCAGTTTTAATTAAAAAAAAATAGATGCAGTTTTTCTTAGATTATTCAAACTAAGACTACACAAACCTTTAGCAAACCTATTTACAACTTCGCTGTAAACACGGGAGCTAATACCTAGACACTTCAAAATTTGTATGATTTCCTATAGTATACACAAATTAAACGTTACCAAAAAAAATTATTTAAAATTTGAAAAAAAAATTAAATTATATTAGTATCAAATAACAATTTTATATATTCAAATAAATAAATACTAAATATTATATATAGATATAATTTACCTATGGTAATATTACATCTTCCATTACCGGTAAGAGGTAATACCAAAATTTTTCCATCGATTTCGTAGGATCCCAATAAGTTAATTTTATCGATATTTAAAGATATAAGCATCGACTGCTTCTCCGTATCAACACTAAAATAAATAAATAATATTACAGTTTTACTGCGTAGCCCCACATGATGCGTAGGGGAGCGGGGGACACGTTGTTACACGGGTAAGAAGTTACACGCCTTTTTTACCAAGATTTTTAACTCTTTGATGGATATAAGTGGACTCATTTGTTTTCTTATAACATTGTGCATTACATAAAAATGATCAGTGACTCGCCAAGCGCCAAGCTGTTAAGTTGTGTGCATGTGTCTCGATTTGAACCAAGTAAGTAAACAAATCCTTTACGAAATTTTTGATTCCTGATGTCTATACTTTTTATTTTCCCAAAAATGTTTACCTTGAACGTTCATAATATATCTACCTTTAATTTACAATGCTGTGTTCTTCTACTATCGATATCCATTAATACCGACTTCAATTTATATTTAAAAACGTGCCATGGGGCACGTAGTACAATTTTTTGGGGTAAGTTGTTACATGTAACATCTTACCCCAAAACATTACTATGCCTTTTATTGTACCGTTCGTCATCATATTTTAAAAATTCTAAATATTCTTTGTTGTAGAGAAATTATAAAAGAAAAACAGAAAGAGGCACAACTAGTCAAGAAGTTTATGAATCGCAAGAAGTACTGCAGAATAAATCGAGCATTCGTAAAGCAAGCGAAATATTTAATTTGTGTCCGATGTCCTTATCCAGGTATGTCAGAAAAAAACAAAACAACGAAAGTTGTTCAATGGGTTACGTTAAACCTAGATTGGTATTCTCACAAGAAACAGAACATAAATTAGCTTCTTATCTACTCAAAAGTTTAGAAATATATTTTGGTTTACTACCAACAGAAGTTCGAAAACTAGCTTACCAGTATGCTGTAAAACTCGAATTAACAAATACAAAGCTGACTTCCCCCCAACTGGCTTAGAATTAATATGGCTGGGCCGGACTGGTTTAAAAGTTTTATGGATAGAAATACTCGACTATTTCTACGAACACCAGAAGCTACATCTTTGACTAGAGCAACGTGGTTCAACAGAACTAACGTTAAAGATTTTTTTGACAAACAGCAAGGCTTACTCTAAAAATATGAATTCACTGCTTCGCGCATATGGAACGTTGACGAAACAAGTGACACAATTGGTACAGAAGCCTAAAAAATAGTTACTGCCCGTGGTCAAAAACAGGTCGGTGCGATCACATCTACCGAAAAAGGAACACTTATAACACTTGCATGTGCCATAAATGCTGCTGGAAATTCAGTTCCGCCGATGTTCGTGTTTCCCAGAATGAATTTTCCCAGAGACACGGTCTTTTTCTCCACATATCTTTTTCTCCATGCTGTAGATATTATAATTACTCATAAATGTTAAAAGACTGTTTAAAGTGATTTCTTCTGTTTATAACGCTTTGAAATAATAAAAAAAATTATTATTGATGATTTTGTTTATTTATCTACCGTAACATCGTGCCCCGAAGATGTAACAACTAGCCCTAAAAAGGGGGTAAATTGTTACAATCGACGTCTTTGGTTAAATTGTTCATTGTGAAATAATTATATAAATTTTAGTAACTTTTTAATTATATTTTAAAAACTGAGTAGGCATACTAACGATAAAATCAATCAAATGTACAAATTATTTAATAGCTTTTGTTAAATTGACAATTCTCTAAAATTTGTAACAACATGCCCCCGCTCCCCTACAGCGTAGCGTAAAGCGGCATGACATATGATATGTCACCTTTTTACCTATTCGCATATGGTTTATTTGATATTGTAACATACGGTTCGTAACGACAATTTGACTCGAAATACCAAGTGTGTGGTACCAAATAATACGTAAAAAAAAACTTTTTCCAAATATTCTAATGATCCACTCTCGTTCCATTTGAAAAAAAAAATGAAATATGATTAAAAATACAATTTGGGCAACTTTTAACCGGCCGGGATAAGACACGAAAAAATTAGACGATCAAATCTATTTTTTCAGAGCTCTTTGATGAAAAATTAGTGTTTTTAACACAGCCATTGTTGTAATTTAAAATTCAATTTTGTTTTAAGCGAAAATGTCAAAAGTTGACATATGATATGCGAATTTTTATCTGAAAAAAATGAAAAATTTATAGGGATGAGCCACTTTTGGGACGCACCCGGTATTATCTCTGTCGCATGCATTAAAATACAGACCACGCAAATGAACCAGGGCTAGTAATGGAAAAAACTCAATCATATTCAGAACAAGAATGCCACTTTAACTAAAGGAGAAAACATTTGATCAATATGTACTAACAACGGTACTACATATGCAAAACCGACATTATGCAGGTCGCACAACGCTTGATGAAATCAAATATGCTGGAAATAACGAAGAAAGGCCGTAAAAAAGAAAGTGAATAAGACTAAAAACCTAGGTAGTAGACGTACGGAAGTACTGAAAACAGATGAGCCACAAAAATTACAGCATGATACCCACAAAGAACTAAAATACCAAACTTATGTAAATATGTCAGATAAGCTACATCATAATTGAATATGGTTGAATAAGCTGCAAATGATGATGATAGTGATGATGATGATAAATAAATAAGTATGAAAAATATAGTGCAAGTCTTACCCAACATCCACCAAAGTGGCCGTGTCCAGACCGACAATATTCAAGTTGACGATTTTCAACTTCAAATTCGGACCGGTGTTAACATTCACCTCTGAGATCTGCAAGGGCAACATATTAGGGATTTTGTATTTCTTGTCGCCCTTTAGAATGTACGGTATCGCTTGGTTGCCAACTTTGACGGCGCATTCGTTAAATTCAGGGCCCACTGCGCATATTCCAATATAAGAAGCTAAAAATAAAATGGAGTTGAATTAAAATTATACATAATATTAATTAATAGGTATACCGGGTGCGTCTCAAAAGTGGCTCACTCTTATAACTTTTTTATTTTTTCAGATAAAAAACGAGATTTGGTATGTTAGTATATGACATAAATTAGGATTGATTGACGTATTCAATTGTTTTTGGTCACTTCCTGTTTCACCGGAAATGACTACAACTTTTGATTTTTAAATAGCACCCCCTTCTGAATAGAATGACATATCATATGTCAACTTTTGACATTCTCGCTTAATAAAAAATCGTATTTTAAAATTCAATCTAGAGTGACATGGATATGTTAAAACACTAATTCTTAATCAAGGAGTTTTGGAAAAGTAGATTTGATGGTCTAATGTTTTTGTGTCTTGTCCTGGCCAGTTAGAAATTGCTCAAATCGTATTTTTAATCATATCACAATTTTTTTCAAATAGAACGAGGGTAGCTTATTAGCATATTTGGAAAAAGCATTTTGTTACGAATAATTTGATACCACACGCTTGGTATTTCGAGTTAAATTTTCGTAACGAACCGCAAGTTATAATTTCAAATAAACCATATTCGGAAATATGTCAAAAGTTGACATATGATATGTAATTCTATTCAGAGTGTTATTTTCTATCAAATAAAGTAAAAAAATACCGAGGGTGCCATTTAAAAATCAAAAGTTGTAGTAATTTCCGGTGAAACAGGAAGTGGCCGAAAACAATTGAATAACGTCAATCATTCCTAATTTCTGTCATATAGTAATATACCATAATAGTACGAGAGCTAGCAACGTCGGGAAAACAAGTATTTTAAGACGTCTGGCTCTTTGATATATCTTTTATTATGCTCTCTGGAACAGCATGCGGCCCATCTGACTGCCGATACCCGTTGCGTTTACTACTGCGCATCCAAAGAAGATCCTCTATTTTTTACTTAGCGCTTTAAATTCTAGTATTCAATAAAAATCGAGCAAGTCTCCATTAGCTCGGCGCGTAGAGCTTTCGCCTATGACGCGAAGGTCAGTGGTTCGATACCGGCTGGGGTGCAAACGGATGGCGCTTATGGGTTTATGATCCGTAGTGGGTATAAGTAGAATTTGATACTTTCATTTGTTTTGAAGGATTATTGTGGTAATTAATAATTAATTATTAGGCAGGTTTAGGATGGTCTGGCTGCCGCGCCGGTAGGTTGCGTTCATTACTGCGCATTACATGTGTACAGGGTGTCCCATTTTTGTGCGTTTTTTGGGATTTCTCGTTTATAATTTTATTTTAAAGATTTAAACATAATATATAAAAATTAACATTTTAATGCTTTATTAAGGTAATTTCTGCCTGTCTTTCTTCAAAATTTTTTTTCAGCTGTTGTTTATTATTTTAATAATACTTTTTATAACAGATTGTTATCTAAAAACTACACAAGTTTATTTTCAGTTCAGTTTGTTAAGATAACGATGGAAAACAAAATTATCTGGTTAAATTAAATTAAATAAAATAATAATACTTTCTAAACAAAATTGATTAATGTTAATGTGTAGAAAATGCACAAATCTAGGGGTAAAATATTTAGTTACATAAAAAACTAGCAAAGTTATGTGTAAAAAAACGCATCATTGTATCTCCACTCATAAACGAGAAATCCCAGATATCCCAAATCCCAAAAAACACACGAAAATGAGACACCCTGTACCCATGTGATGCGCAGTAGTGAACGCCACCTACCGGCGCGGCAGCCAGACCATCCTAAACCTATCTAATAATTAATTACCACAATAATCCTTCAAAACAAATGAAAGTATCAAATTCTACTTATATACACTAGGTAAGTATCATAAACCCATAAACGCTATCCGTTCTGGTGATAAAAAAACAAATATTTAATACTTTACTATCAGAATATAAACGCAAAAAAAAATTAAAAAAAGTTGCAACCTCAGCCGGAATCGAACCACTGACCTTCGCTTCATAGGAAAAAGCTGTACGCCCCGGGCTAATGGAGACTTGCTCGGTTTTTATTCAATACTAGAATTTAAACCGCTAAGTAAAAAATAGAGGATCTTCTTTGGATGCGCAGTAGTAAACGCAACGTGCATCGGCAGCCAGACGGCCTGGAAGCTGTTCCAGAGAGCATAATAAAAGATATATCAAAGAGCCAGACGTCTTAAAATACTTTCTCGAAAACGTTGCTAGCTCTTAGACTATAAGGAAAAGGAAATGGCTAGAGTTAAGGGAGGCTTTTGTTCAGCAGTGGACGGTATAAGCTAAATGATGATGATGATGATGAGTAACATACCAACTATCGTTTTTTTATCTGAAAAAATAAAAAAAATTGTAGGTGCGAGTCACTTTTGAGACGCACCCGGTATAGCAGTAAAGAAAAACAAAATTATCGGGCAAAACCCACAGGAAAATTAGCCAAGAAAATCAAGTACGTGTATATCAGAATAATAATATTAGTATATTTGTTTTTAATGGCATCAATCTTTAATGCATTATTTATTCGGCATCAGGCTATTGAGTCTAGCCGTCTGGCCATTACAAAAGAAACCAGAACTATAGGAATTTGCAGTAGTACATCAATTATAAATATTAACCTGAATGATTTTTTTGTTATACAGGGTGAGGCTTAAATAAGTGCAAATAGTTTTATGGGTAGTACATTTCGGCCACAGAAACACAATTTTGAGGTTTTTTTCGCAATTTTTTTTTTTGGAAAATTTGGAATTTTGTTTTAGTTTTTTGTTAAAAAACATCATTTCTTGATAATATGGCAACACAGGTAATAGCTTAAATTTACAAGAAACAAAAACCCAGAAAAGATCCAGTGGTTCTCGTGTCACGTGACTCTCAATAAAGATTCTCATTTTAAGACACATGATTACTGTCAAAAGTTAATCGGATTGCTCGAAGATGTAATTACCGAACTTAGCATAAAATGTCATTGTCAACTGTCACTGTCACTCAAAGAAAATAAAAGTTTTTTGTTTTACCGGCGATACTCCATTAATGTAGTCAAGACTTCGAGAAATGAGCTTTGACCTAATATAATACCTTAAAAATATATATAAAATACCTTAAGCAAGAAATCTTGACCTTTGAGATTATTAATTTAAAGAAATCTTAACCTCATATAAAGAAAGCGAACTTTAAGGTTTTAAAATTATGGAAAACCTAACTTCATAGACGAATAGTTAAAAACACCATTAGCGGCCATTTTCTTATCCAATTTGTTTTCAAAACTAACTAAACTATTGAAAAAAATAAACATACGTTAATGAATAATACTACCTACTACAAGTTAAATTAACTAATTAAGAATTTTAAAAGTGTACCAAGAAAGTTAGCTGAAAAAAAGTTAGGTTAGAACCTTAAAAATAACGATTTATTCTAAAATTAATGGTTGAAAATACATAAAATTTTAATGGCGCATAATTTTTTAGGGCCTATCATATTTACATTTCACAGAAAAATTTTCTCCGCAGACATAATAATCATGGAAATCCAGTAATCCACTTCTTACCAATAACTTATTTACATTTACTAGGAACTATATACACAGGGCCGGCGGAAGGACCGGGCGACCCGGGCGGCCGCCCGGGGCGCCGGAAACGAGGGGCGCCACGACAGCAACTAAAATATTTAAAAACAGTAATCTAAACAAATAGTAACGAATATCCAGTTCAATAATTAATCGGTACTCTCAATTTCCACATTAACACATTAGCTGACTAAACTTATCACAATATCTCACTAAACATTATAAACATTATACTATATCCTAGATGTATCTTATAGTTTACTCATATTGAAATTATGCTAAAAAATCCTTAGCACGAAAGCTTTGGGATAGTTTTGATTTCTTCTATTCTATTTGTTTTTTGAGTGCTCTATCCGAAACTGGGATTTGCGAATTCATTTTCGTTGAAGAATATTAAACAAAATTAAGTAAAAAAATATAAATCGAATTTGTTCGTGGCATTTTTATAACTTTTTGTAAATAATCCTTCTTTCTATAATTCTCGTTTTTATAAATTTCTAAACAAAATGTTTTGGGTCAAGAGCCAGCAAAATTAACAGTTTTAGACTGACTGCTCAAAATTGCATTTTTTTCTACTATCCACACCCTTTATTTGTTATTAATGGCTGATATGCCCTTAAGTTATATGCGGCAAATATTCATTTGCAAGAAGCTGAAGAGGATCCCGATATCCTTATTATTAAAAAAAACTTATAAGTTTGCCTCATTAATTAAATTAATTTATTAATAGTAGTGGGAAAGATATCAATCTTTTGGTGGTTTTGATTGTTCCGGATTGAATATAATATGTAGTAATACACTGAAAATGGTAGCAAAATCGTAGAATTTTCTCACACAACGAAAAATTTCCCACAAAGAAATGAATTGGCTGATCCTCATTAAAATCCTAAATATGTAATTGTTTGTGAAAAAGAAAGGGACGTTTTCTTAAATTCTTAATAATAAAATATAATAAAAAATAATGCAACTGCTTGCAATTAAATACTGTTATGTTTTCAAAGATTACTTATACCAGAACGAGACTGCCGAAGTTCTATTTCTTCTACATACCGAGTGCGTCTCAGAAGTTTCTCACTCTATAATTTGTTTATTTTTCTGGCACTATAGATTAAAATTTAAAAGACGATTTTTTTAAGCGAAAATGTCAAAAGTTGACATATGATGTCAATTCTACTCAGAATGTCATTTTCTTTTGGAATAAAGTAGAAATATACCGAGGGTGCATTTAAAAATCAAAAGTTTTAGTCATTTCCGGTCAAACAGGAAGTGACTAAAAACCACTGAATACGCCAATCAAACCTAATATATGTCATATACCAACATACCAAAACTCGTTTTTTATCTAAAAAAATAAAAAAATTTAACATTTGAGTGAGAAAGAAAAAAAAGAGTGAGTCACTTTCGAGACCGGTGTAGAAAAAATAACAATCGCAGACTAAGATTGAACGAAGAGAAGAATTTTGAAGTATCTTTAAGTGAAAATTTATTGTTAAAGTAGCATAAATTTGCTTAGTTTGTAGTTAAAGTATAGGACTGAAGAAAAAAGAGAGTTATAAAAACTGTTAAGGAGGGGGGGGGGGCGCCAGATAGGGTACTCGCCCGGTCTCAATATTTTCCTTCCGCCGGCCCTGTATATACATATATGTAGGTATTTCATCCATATTGGATTAATGTACAAACGGCCATGCCAATTATTACACTTGTTTGTCTTCCTGGTTCATTATTAGAAAATTCATTTACATATACTGGATTTATTAAAAAGAAAAATACTTTACCTTATTCTTTCTCTTTCTTTCTCATGTTAAAATGTAGGTAGTACAAATTAGGACTACTTTTAGTAAAATTCACCTCTATTTTACCATGTTATGACCTCAGATCGGTTATTTTTGGCTTCATAACCCATATTTCATACAAAACCTGTTAATCTGTTTTTAAATTCCAAATTACTTTAGTTTTACTCCCCACTTTGGGAATTTGAACGTCAATTCTTGGAAATTTCGAGTTGGTCAATAATAGTCCAGGTGGTTAATTTAATGTAAATAAATAAATGCCTTTATTGTCAAAAATTTTTACAATTTGTAGACAAAGGTAAAATACACAAACAAAGTAAACGAACAAGGTACACAAACCTTTTTTGTAATTTTACCTTTAAATGTTTGTTGGGTTAAGTCTAGGCTTAGATATTATCAGGCTAATATTTATTGACTTCAATTTTATTTTAATTTAAATAAAATAATTAGATTTTTTTACTGTGTAATTTTTATTAATAAAAATCCATTAAATTTTTATTTTATCCTAAACTTGGACAAAGTCACGTAAAACTCGTCTTTATAAAAAATTAATTGACATTATTAAAAACACTTTCAAAAAAAAAACAAATAAGTTATTTGAGTAATTTAATGTGAGTTAATTGGCCGTCATTAAATCGTTAGGGGTCGCATAAAACCTGTACTTATTACAATAATTATTTGGTACACTCCGTCTTTGGTTATAATTGCCATTTCTTACCAATGTAATTGCTCCAAAAATAAGTTTTAATAAACGAAGTCGTAAACATGGGAAATCAAGTTTTAAAAATAGTATTTGCAAAATTATGGGTTTAAAATTGATTTGTAATTTTGCTTATTTGGATTTAATTTATTCCCGAATATTTTACGTGTATCATTCAGGTTGTCATTAATAACTGATGTAGTACTACAAAAAGTCACAAGAATTCTGCTTTTAGGCCAGTAAACGTAGCCGAGTATGATACAGGGTGGCCCATCGAAAACGTTCCGCAAGACATAACGGCCAGGATATTATTTTTTTCAAAAAATCCAAAAACACGTCAATTTTGTTTGTGAGGGGGACAACTTTTGCCCCAAAAATGATTCCAAAATCTTCAACCCTCTAAGCGGGGGTGTCATCCCCCAACTTTTTTCAAATGGGAAGGGGGTTCAAGTGGCACCGCAATGAAAAGAGCTTTCTATTCTCCATATTTCCCAGCTTCGTTTTTGAAAATCGGTCAAGTCATTGAGAAAATATGAAGGATTGAAATTTGAAAAATTTATTTAAACATTTATCAGAGTAAATGATAAGGATAAATTCCTTCGACCAATTTGCTGTTTTTTCTTATTATTTCTAGATGTTTACGCATTTTTTCACTTGCCACAAGGTTGAACGATCAGGTGCTGTAGTTGCTAGATAGCTGTTCTGTGACTTGTGCGTTGAAGTTCTTTTCAATATCGTTAAACTTTTTAACAATTATGGTGTACTCACTTGCAAAAAAAGTGGAAATAATCGAACTTTATTTTAAAAATAAAAAACAAACAAATTATACAAAATTATATTATTATTTGATAAACTATATAACTTTCTTACTAAACTTTTATGATAAAAAGGGGCATATTTCTATTTACATTTGTCTTAGATACTTTTGTTTCAAGTAGTTATAGTACGAGAACAAGCAACATCGGAAAAACAAGTATTTTAAGACGTCGGGCTCTTTGATATATCTTTTATTATGCTCTCGAGCATGCGGCCCGTCTGGCTGCTGGCTTTTATTAGTCCTTTAAATTCTAGTATTGAATATAAATCGAACATGTCTCTATAGCGCAGTGCGCAGAGTTTCTGACCATGAACCGATGATTCAGAGTTCGAATCCGGATCAGGGCAAAGACTTTTTTTATTTTATTTTCGTTTATATTCTAATAGTAAAGTATTAAATACTAGCGTGTACCAGCGACTTCGTTCGCGTCGAATTAATCATTTGTAATGGTGATGATAAAGCAAAGCAAGAATTTCCATTAACATACAAACTGGATAAAATTTTCTCACATTTATGTCAGCATGAGAAAAAAGAATATGGCGATATTATTATATAACTTGGTAATATTTGAGGGGTAGTTTCATTTCGTTGAAATTTGACTTTCGAAAAATCCGTTTGCCAAAAATAAGCTTTTTACGTCAAGCAGTTTAAGCAGAATCGTGGTTAAGAAATTCCCAACTTTTTGGAACATCCTGTATGATTTTTTTAAAAATTTCAAAATATGTAAAAAAAAACAAATAAATTATGCTTGTCCAAGCGTTTTCCCGAAAGACTAACCGTTTTTTGAATAACAAATATTGTAATATTTGAGCGGCGTTTTCACCCTCTTGGAATTTGAGATTCGAGAAACCCCTCCTTATCGAACCTCTACACCCCACAGTCAATCCGTTTGCCAAAAATCAGCTTTAAACGTCAAGCAGTTTAAGCAGAATCGTGATTGCTCAATGGTCATATTTTATGAAACACCCTGTATAAATTTATAAAAAATCTTAAAATATGTAAAACAACAAAATAAAATATACGTGTTTAAGAGTTTTTCCGAAAAACTTACCGGTTTTTAAATAAAAAATATTTTAATATTTGAGGGATAGTTTCACCCCCTTAGAATTGGAGTTTCGAAAAATCCCTTCTTATCGAACCTCTACACCCTAAAGTCAATTTGTTTTCCAAAAATCAGCTTTTTACGTCAAGCGCTTTAAGCAGGATCGTGATTAATCAATGACCAGATTTTTCGAAACACACTTTATACATTTTTAAAAAATCTTAAAATATGTAAAAAAACAAAATAAAATATACGTGTTTAAGCGTTTTTTTCTGAAACTTGACCGTTTTTTAAATAAAAAATATTGTAATATTTGAGGGGTCGTTTCACCCTCTTGGAACTGGAATTTCGAAAAATCCCTTCTTATCGAACCTCTACACCCTAGACTCAACCTGTACGCCAAAATTGAGCTTCTTACGTTGAGTGGTTTAAACAGGATCGTGATTAATCAGTATGTCAGTCACTTAAGGATTTTATTTATTAGTATTTATTTGTTTTTTTTTAATTACCAGAATTATTTAATACTTTACTATCAGAATATAAACGAAAATTAAATTACAAAGTTTTTGACCTGACCCGGATTCGAACTCTGAATCATCGGTTCGTGGTCGGAAACTCTACGCACTGCGCTATGGAGACATGTTCGATATATGTTCAATACTAGAATTTATATGACTAAATTAATAAAGAATATAGGATCTTCTTCCGATGCGCAGTAGTGAACGCAACGGGTATCAGCAGCCAGACGGGCCGCATGCTGTTCCAGAGAGCATAGTAAAAGATATATCAAAGAGCCAGACGTCTTAAAATACTGTCTCGAAGCGTTGCTAGCTCTTAGACTATTAGGGGTTTCTATTAATATAATTAATAGATAAAAAATATTACAGATGACCAAACACATTAAATTTAGTGTGATTTAAAAGAAATATAAAAGAAGAAGTTGAAGGACAAATAAGTTAATAAAAATATACGTTCATGTTTAATAAAAGAGCTTTTAACAATGGCTTTTGAAATAACAATCGGTGATATATGCTGTAATAAATGACAATCTACATATTTAAAAAAAATTCTCAAATAGTCAAAATAGTAAGTGGAATAAAAGCATTTGCTATTATTAATTATTGTTTTGTTTAATTGTACTATTTTAATTTTAATATTACTTATATTCAATAATATTATAATAATTGTATTGTGTACTTTAAACTTACGTATGTCGCCATTGGTGAACTCTAAAAACACCGAACAAAATCCAACAAATAAAATCCAGTTAAACATGGCGTCGATATGTTATAATAACCAACCCGCTACCAGAGAAACTACTGAAATTATTTTCGCACTATAACTTTCTTATAAATCATTTTCTTTCCATCAATAAAAATGATACAAAGTCTGAAAAAAATAATTGCCCGATAAAATAGGAAATGTATTATATATGGCAGCGCTATGTATAATCGTCGTTTTTAATTGTAGCTTGTTAATTTTTTGTTAGTTAAATGTTCATGTTGATACTATATTTTTACATTTTAGTTAAAATTATTTAATTTGTATAATTTCTTATGATTTTCTTTGGGCAATTGTATGACCTTTTTCGAGATTAATGGCTTGAGTTTGTTCCTTTATTTATTTTTTTATGAACTTTTAATTGACAAAAATTAATTTATTTTTGTAAATTAATTCTAAACAGTAATAAAATAATATCTTATTTCGAAAATTGCCTCAAAACAATTGGCCGAAAAAGAATTGACAGTAAGTTGATCACGGAAAAAAAGATTGCTCTAACGAAAAATTGCCCTAAATGATAATTCCCCTAAGAACATTTCGTCGAACCAGAAACTTGTTCTGAAAGTAATATTTCTATTTAATATGTTGTTGGTTTGGTTTGTTTTTTTCCCAAAAATCGACTCTTTCGAAGAGCTCTTATTTCTGTCAATTGTAATTCGGTGGTATTTCTTTTCGAGTAAGTATTTTTCGGTCAATTGTTTTTGGACAATTTTTATAGATCAAAATAATATTACTACCTTATACCTTATATAAGCAACCTTAATAGTATTTTTAAGATACATGCATTCTCCAGTGAATATCGGAGTAATATACTGAGTGTTCCATTTGAAATAAAAAAGTAACTTGCATTTTAATGAGACCATTGTTCAATATTAATTTTGTTTTACCCTGTAACTTTTTGAATCAAATTTTAATTTGATTTAAATTACAATAGTAATTTTAACTACATACTAGGAGAAATTCCAATTTAGGTACCTAGCTTTTATTGAATTTTTAGCCGACCATACCAATAGGTATGGTAGACTATTAGGATCGGCAAAAAAAAAGTTTTTTTAATTTCACTCAAAATGAGTTATTTGGGTCATAAATGACCTAAATACAAAATATTTTCGTGGTGTCTGTCTGTCTGTCTGTCTGTCTGCCGTCTGTAACACGATAACTCAAAAACCGCTGAACCGATTTTAACCAAATTTGGCACAAAAATACTGTGGCACCCGAGAATCTGGCCATTAGATTTTGGTGGGGGTGGGGGGTTGGTAAAGGGGTATAGGAGGGGGTTAAAAATTTAAAAAAATCGTAACTCCAAAATTACAGTAGCTAGCGAAACGCGGTTTTCAAATTAAGATTAGAAATAATATTTGCAACAAAATTTGTAATAACATCAAAATCAGTCAAAGTCGCAGTTTTCGAGATATTAACATATTTTAGTATGGGCGGCTATACGTGCCTCCCGGCGCCAATTTTGATATATATTTTTCATTGTTAGAAAATGTTAAATATGTCAAAAATCTTATATTTCATACTTTATTTAAATGCTTCTCTAAGAGGCTGCAGCGACCAGCATTTGATTTAACGATATTACTGGTTGCACAGTGACCAAGCTGCGACCAATAATACCATGAAATCAAATGCTGGTCGCTGCGACCTAGTCGTCAGTGCGTTTGAGATCTAATAAAGATTATCTTTATTTTTTTCTTAGAATTTGAAAATCAATTATTAATATATTGGATATTCGATTACGCAAACAAATTTGGTGTGTACTTTTTTGGGGGACACTCTGTAGAATAATATATAATTTTGATAATGCTCTCAATTAACATACATATTCTTACAAAATTTCATTTCAATACAAACTATCGTTCTCTTTGGTATCTCCGCGTAGTATGAGAAGCGCCTCCCAGAGATATCAACAGGCAATAAGAACACAAACCTTGAAAGTAAAATGATCACAAGGATCAAGAGCATTATAGGCCAGTAAGCGAAGATAAAAATGGGGTATTACCTCCGAATTCTTGACACCCACGCCGATTGACATGAAATTTTAACAGTGAATAGAGTCATACAGGATGGCCCATCGAAAACGTTCCGCAAGGCATAACGGCCAGGGTAATTTTTTTTCAGAAAATTCAAAAACACGTCAATTTTGTTTGTGAGGGGGACAACTTTTGCCCCAAAAATGATTGCAAAATCTTCAACCCTCTAAGCGGGGGTGTCATCCCCCCAATTTTTTTCAAATGGGTAGGGTGGTCAAGTCGTACCGCAATGAAAAGGGCTGTCTATTCTCTATACTTTCCCGCTTCGTTTTTGAAAATCGGTCGAGTCATTGAGAAAATATGAAGGATTGAAATTTGAAAAGTTTTTTTAAACATTTATCAGAGTAAATGATAAGGATAAATTCCTTCGACCAATTTGCTGTTTTTTCTTATTATTTCTAGATGTTTACGCATTTTTTCACTTGCCACAAGGTTGAACGATTAGGTTAGGTAGAGTGTACTTTTTTTTTGAATGGTGTAGTTAATCGGCACAACTGTCGGTACTGGGCTGAGGACAACCCCAGGGTTTTTCACGAGGTGCACACACAAACCTCTCTGAAATTGGTTGTTGGTTTTCAAAAGTGTGGGCTGGTAATTTTAGAAATTTTATTGTGAGTCCTTTTTTTCTTCCTGGAAATCTAACAGGTGATATGTACTTGGATTTACTGGAAAATACCATCGACCCAGCCCTAACTGACATCATAGAGAACAATCCTGGATACGTTGAAGCAGAACTAATATTTCAACAAGACGGTGCACCTCCACATTACTCTCAAAACGTGCGTAATTATTTAAACAATAACTTTCCCGTTCGGTTGATAAGACGAAGGGGTGCAATTGAGTAGCCTCCCCGGTCACCCGACTTGACTCCTTTAGACTTTTTTCTATGGGGACACATAAAAAGTAAAGTGTATAGCACTCCACCCGCCTCATGAGAAGACATGCGAAGACGAATTATTGATGTTTGTCGCGAAGTGACCCCACAAGTTCTTCAGAATGTTCTAGAACGGATTGAAAATAATTTGTTTAACTGCATGGAGGTTGACGGGCAACATTTTCAGCATTTGCTTTATTAATAAGATAAGTTTTTTTTTTAATTAATTCAATCTATGCGTTTTTTGCAAAAAGTACTTTTCAAATTTCAATCTTTCATATTTTCAAAATGACTCAACCGAATTTTAAAAACGAAGTGGGGAAATATAGATAATAGAAAGCCCTTTTCATTGAGACGCCACTTGACCCCCCTTCCCATTTGAAAAAAGTTGGGGGATAACACCCCCGCTTAGAAGGTTATAGATTTTGCAATCATTTTTCGGGCAAAAGTTGTCCCCCTCACAAACAAAATTGACGTGTTTTTGCATTTTTCGAAAAATAAAATACCGTGGCTGTTATGCCTTGCGGAACGTTTTCGATGGGCCTCCCTGTATATATAAGAAACAAAAGATATATATCTAGTAGCGATGTGTGCTTTCACCCTGGGGGTGAGTGCCACCCCTTCTCGGGGGTGAAAAATAAATCACCCATTTTAATTGCAAAAATCGATAAAGGTATGCCAGTCTAAGCAAAAATGTTCTATAACATTATTTCAGAAAATTAATATTTTCCGAGTTATTTAGGATTGAAAATGTTGACTTTTCATCTAGAAACTGCATATTTTTCTGCCATTTTTTATTAATAACTCGAAAACCCTTCCGGTTTTATCGCAAAACCCATATAAAGCAAAAATGAAGCTTTTGGATTAACGAATTTACAGTTGAGGTTTGGAACCTTTGGTGTTACACAGCAAAATAAAAACACTAAATCACCACAATACACCAAAACACTTTTACTTTTACACTGGACGCGCGTTTCGCTAACCATGTTAGCATCATCAGCAGATGATTATAAACTAAAGTACAATCTACAAGGTGAGCGTTTATATACTCGCTCAGTGGGCCCCGAGTGGGCGTGGCAAAATCTAGCCAACCAAGTCAGAGCCTACTGAGCGTAACAGTTAGATTTCCGCCACTAGAGTAGTAGGAACAAAGAACTTGAAGGAATTGGACCGTTGACTCTGTTCATACTATCTTTACATTTATTAATTATGATGCTTTCATATGCATCTAATTGCCTGTAATTTGAGACTTGTTTAATTAATTTTAAATTATTAAGATCTATACAATGTTCATTATCAACAATATGTTCGGCAACGCAAGATTTATCCGGTCTACCATATCTTATCTGAGCTAAATGTTCTTTAAATCTAGTTAATATTGATCTTCTAGTTTGCCCAACATATTTCTGATTACAATCTTTACAAGAAATTTCATAAATACCCGACCTTTCCAGTGGAGGTGTTTTATCTTTTGGATTACCTAATAATTGTTGTAATTTATTATTAGCACTATGCACAAGTTTATAATTGACATTCTTAAAAATTCCTTTTAGACCACGGGATAACTCTCTATCAAACGGTATCGAAAAATATTTAGACGTATCTTTCTCCACTTGAAAAGTCGAATTTTCAGAAATCATTAACCTATACCTACGTTTTCTAATTAATTTATCAACTAGTAAAGGAGAATATCCATTACACGAATTAATTCATTTTTTTATTACCGTAGGTGTAATAATAGCCGAGTTATGACTCTGTAAAGGTGATTTTTTGACTTTTCGAAATCTAAATTGCAACCTTTTACCGTAAACTAATGGCAAAAGAAGATATTTTAGAAGAAAATGAATTTGAGCGTTTTTAAAGTAAAAAATAGATGTGACTATTGTTCAATATTAATTTTGTCCCACCCTGTAACTTCTCGAATCAAATTTTAATTTGATATAAAAATGACAACAGTAATTTTAACTACATATTTGGCTATACCGGAGAAATTCCCATTTAGGTAGCTTTTATTGAATTTTGGTGAATATATTTTTTATTGTTAGTAAATGTTAAATATGTCAAAAACCTTACATTTCATACTTTATTCATATACTTCTTTAATAAAATTATCTTTATTTTAATAATATAATGGATATTCA